AAAGTACAGGCTCGCAGCAAAGACAATGTCGCGCCGGATCAGGCCCTGGCACTGCTCCATCTGGCGGAACAGGTCCGCGTCGCCGATGACGCGCGCGGCATCGCGCACCTCGCGGCACGTCTCGTCCAGCCGCGTAATGACACGGACGATCGTACCCTCTGGCACGTCGGTCAGCTCAGTGATCTGCTCGAACGCCTATTGTGAACGCGTCCCCGATTCCATTTCCAAGGCAGACAGACATGCAGGCAAGAGCATCGTCAGCATCCCGCTTGGCGATACCTCGCCGATCGGGTACTCACCACCCCACGTGCCCACTCGTACACCGCCTCGACCAGCGTCGTGTTGAACTTGGCATCGACGTCGTCCACGGCGAGCTGGTGCGCTGCCTGCACGGCACCAACGCGCTCGGCCGTCGCGCGGATGCGCGCCCACCCGTCCGCGAGGCGCGGCCGCAGTGCCGGCGCCTCCGTTGCCCCCGCCTTTTCCTGGAACACAAACGGGCTGAGAAGCGCAACAGCCTCCTCGGGTGCGAGCGCCGCGAACGTGTTGTCCAGGATCAGCTCCGTCAGCACCAGCGCGTCCGCCGAACTGATTTCACACGCGACGCGCCCCTTGAGCAACACACTCTCGCTCCCCGCGTCGAGGAACCGCAGCGCCTTGAGCACCTGCACGCGCTGCCCGTATTCCGGCAGCAGCTCCAGGTTCTCGTCCGACAGCGACATGCGCACCACCGCCACCTCCCGCTGTAGGGATTTGGTCTGGTGCACGATGCGGTACTGCAGCGTGTCCGCCCCCGGCCGGCCGGCCGTGCGTGCAAAGCAGTCAGCGTGGCACCGTGCAAGACAACCGAACTAAAGACCGCCACTCACATCCGCTGCAAAGTGCTCATCCACAACCGCCTGCGCCTGGACGATACGCGCAGCATAGCCCTCTCGCGCACGCAGAGCCTCCTGGAACTCGAGCTTGCGCAGCTTCGACCAGTCCGCCTCGCGCAGCGCCGTCGGTCGGTCCCGCGATTCCTCCAGCGTCGGAAGCAGCGCGGCCACCGCGCCCTGCATTCCCGAGATGCGATGCGCCATGACCAGCGAAAAGTCCGCCTGGCCGCCGAGCGACAACAAGAGGCATCACTTGTAGCATCAGCAAAACACAAGACGCTGACTGCACCGCGATTGCCACCCTCGTTCCCGCGCCTCACCTTTTGTACGTGCGCCGTGACAAAGGCAATGCTCGTCAACGGCACCTCGCGCAGGTCGTACACCAAGTCGGAAAGGTCCCCCGTCAACGCAGGCGGCCATAGCGGCGCTACCGACGAAGCAGGGCGGTCTGCAAGGAAGACATTGCGGGATGAGCGCTGGCTCCAGCAACGTAGCCATGCTGGGTGCATGGAAGATCGATCACTCACCATGGCGACCGGCCTTGCGGTCCTTGCTCACTGCTGCGAGCACCAGGAACTCGTCCGCAGCGACATTCTTGATAATGATTCCCGCGTCCCAGTCAAAGTGCTGTGGGCGAGGCTAGTCGTCAGTCAACAGCTCATCAAAACCGAGCACAGGCACAGCACATACCCCGTCTCGAAGCAGCACCATCCGTCCCTGTCCAAAGATCTTGGAGCCTTGCTGTTGCTCCAGCGCCATCTGGAGAACGGCCTGGTTATTGCTAACGGCACCTTGGCAGAGATCATAATAGAGGTTAAGTTTCTCGCTGCGTCTTTCGTCTGCAATCTTCGGCAGTGATTTGAGCCGCTTCTCCAGCTCCTTCATCTTCTTCTCCTGCTCCGGCAGCAGCTTCTGTGCCGCGTTCTCCGAGAAGGAGCGCTTGATCATGTCCTCCACCTTGAGCGCTTCGACACGCAACAGGTTCAGGATCATGTTGTACGTCAGCCGGAACTGTGACTGCAGCTTGGTCGGCTGCCCGAGTAGCATCGTCTGAAGCGTGCTCGCCTCGGGCACCTGATCCGCAGCATTGATGATCACCACGCCTGTCGCGTCCAGGCCTCTCCGTCCCGCACGCCCGGACATCTGCGTGTACTCGCCGGCGAGCAAATCGCGGAAGCTGTGTCCATCGTGCTTGCGGATACCAGAGAAGACAACTGAACGCGCCGGCATGTTGACGCCCATCGCAAATGTCTCCGTTGCGAACAGCACCTTGACCAGACCTCTCTGGAACAGCATTTCAACGACCTGTCCAAGGGGAGCATCCGTGTTCAATGATCCATTCTACTTCAAACAGCCTATGCTTGTCTCACCTCTTTGACGATCGGCAAGAGACCGCCGTGATGCACACCGATGCCGCGTCTCAGTAGCTCGCGCATGCGTTTGATCTGCGGCAGACGGCGATCTGCCTCTTTGAGTCGGCTGAGACTCCTCTCGATGACGATATGCACTTCGCTCTTCTCTTTCGCCGAGCAGAGATCCGTGTTGGGCATGCTCGAGGCGTACTCCTCGCATCGTTTCTTGCTGAAGACGAACACGACGATGGGCAACAGGTCCTTTTTGCGAAGCAGGCCCACGAGATGGATCCACAAGTTCTTGTCATGTCCTCGCCACGATGGCACTCCGCTTCCCCCACTGCCGCCTCCCCCTCTCGGGATGACCGCTCCACCCCGCTGCGCACCGCCTCGCCCGCTTTGGCCACCTCTAGCGCCTCGTGCACCACCGCGGACGGGTGGGGGCAGCCCAGCCGCCTCACGCTCTTTATCTTGCTTGCGTCGGGTCGCTTCGCTTGCATCTTTGATGCCAGCTGTGAGCATCTGGCCCTTTGCATCAACGATTTTGAACAATTCCTTGCCAGCGTAGAGAAAGTGCTCAAGTGGGACAGGTCTCTTTGCCGTGCTGATCACGTAGATGTCCTTTTTCTTCGTTCGGCCGACCCAGTCGGCAAATTCTGTAGAGAAACAAAAATAGGTCTAACTCAGGCCTTGTCTCTGCAGTCATTCAGTGTCTCCGCTCACCTTTTGTGTTGGGAACAGTCGCAGAAAGCAGGATGAGGTTGATGTGCTGAGGGCAGAGGATGATCACCTCCTCCCACACCACGCCTCTTTCCTGGTCATTGACATAATGTACCTCGTCGAAAATGACAAACTCGACGTCCCGGATGAGGTCTGCTCCGCGATACACTGCAAGCAATCAAGAGTGCGTCAGCTACTTTCGACAATAAAATGACTGTGAACTAAGCGAACCCACGCATGCTCCGCAAGATTTCGGTGGTCATGATCAGACACGGCGCTTCCGGGTTGATCTGCACATCACCGGTGAGGATGCCGACGTTCTGTGCCCCGAACGTCTTCTTGAATTCCCTGAATTTCTGATTGCTCAACGCTTTGATTGGGCTGGTATAAATGCAGCGCGTCATATGTTTCTGCGCGAGCGCGATCGCATACTCTGCGACGACTGTCTTGCCTGCCGACGTGTGAGCTGCCACAAAGACGCTTTCGCCTTGCTCAAGGTGGTAAGCGGCTTCCTTTTGAAAGTTGTCCAGCTCGAATGGGAAAGTGTGCGCCATTTGAGGAACCAGCTCATGAAAATTAGCCAGCGTCTGCCGCACGTCTATGACATGCGCCCATTCCCGCTTGACGCCGAGTTTGGCTGTCCGTCGCGTCTTCAAGGGCTGGGGAGGCTCAGTCGGCAGAAGCGCATCAAGTTCGGCGTCTAGGCGGTCGTTACAGTGTTTCTTTGCCGGTGCATCAGCCTGGCCATTGCCATTACCGGCAAGAGCCGAGACGTGCAGGGACGACACGGGCACGTATACGGGTTCAGGTTTGAGACTCTTGGCAAAATCTTCCTGCGTTTCCACCTCCTGCTCTTCCTCGTCTGCTTTCTCGAAGAAGCCCCTCGAAAAGCCAGGCGGAATGGTCCTGAGACCCTTTGGTCCCCGACCCATGAGCGCTTCAACGCTCTGGACGGTCTTGCTGAGCTCATCCGTCTCTTCACCTTCGAGGCCTTCCTTGTGATGGATCTCGTCCTCGACCTCTTTGTCTGTCTTGAGAACTTCATCCTTCATTCCCCCTGGTGCAAACATGAAATTACCGCTTTTGCCGCGAACAAAGTTGGTCTTGGCAGTGGGAGCGCGCATCATAGAGGTGGAAGTTTTGGCTGTCGCTGCTTCGCTGGTATCGCCAGAAGCCGACGCAGAGACGATGGACTCTTCGTATCCTACTATTCGCCCTTCGAGCCCAGCGCGGATGAATTCGAGCTTGGTGGTTTGGGCTTTCGGTTGCGCCCATAGCAACGATGCATAGTCTGGAGCTTGCTGCCAATGGCTGTGCAAGAAGAACATCTCGCTATCAGCAACGTGTCTAAAGAATTCGATGAATTAATGGACCCCACATTTGATAGAGTCCTAGGTCCCGATCATCAATGTTCCAGCTCGGTGTGAGAAATTTGCGAACGACAATGTCCCTGACCTCGTCGGGAGCGAACATGGGTGATTCTCCCTCCTTCGCGGTGGGAGCATCTCTTGAAAGCCAGCCGAGATCTTTCAGAATTTCCTCACGCGTCCGGCGCTCGTTGCCACGCCTGCCATCAGAGCGTACCCTCTCCAACAGAGAGGTTAGATGCTCCGCGTAGACCAAGTCACCTTCGTCGAATGGCGAGGCGTCATCTTCAACGGTGTAATCGTTGGGGGCCATTTTGCGCTTCGTCCAAAATGCAATCCTGTGAGCAATTGCAAAAGTTTTATCGCCACCTCCCTGCTCAAGGCTCTTCGAGATTCCTTACCCTGAGCTGATTACATTGGTGCCGTATTGGCAACTTCGGGGCTTGTCTACCACAAGGCTAACCAAAACCTCGTGACTGGAAGCAGCGTCCTAGCAGACCCAAGCTGAGAAAGTGGATCAACGCCTTGGCTGGTATCAACATTTTTGGCCCGTGTGTGCTAAAATGATTGCCGACCTCGGGAACTTCTTCAGACGTACTTCAAAAGTGGGATCATCTCTATCATGTCCCTGGCAAATACTGCTTCCAGTCACCAGGGCGATGTGTGTTTTCAACGCAGAACCCGATTTTGGTAACTGTATCCCCGTTATTTTGGGGGACTCCTCCCATTTTCTCTTCGCTCTCCACATTCGCCGTTGCACACTAACCCAGGCTTTCTGAGGCGTCGCCCACACATTCCATCGACCGAACCGCAAACGAGCATCACGTTCGGGACGACTTTTCGAATGTCGATGCGAGCCAAGGAGCAGCACGGTGTGCAGATAGAGGCGTCTTGACCTCTACCTTTTCCTGCGGCGCCATCCATCTTCCGCATTGTCCGGTCAATTGCGGGCTCCATGCGACTCGGCCGTCGTCATCAAGGACACGCCGACGGTCGACGTTGCAACACCATCTCGGCAATCCCTTGTCGGAAGAGATGATTACCAAAGCTCGCTTCTTATGAAGATGGAACCAGCGCACAAACCCGCTGGCGGGCCGGTGGAGGGCACCGGGCCAGTGGGCGAAGGCGCATATCATGTGCCAGTGGCCGAAGAAGCGGTGATGACTTGGGAATACATCTGTCGGGTGAGAGCTCATGCCTTTCGAAGTCATTTTGATGCGCCAGATCGTACTCATAAATATTGTATGCATGGATTCTGTCTCGCTCTCTGGCTAGGTCTGCGCACGGGAGGGACTCGACAAGCTAGACCGTCATCCAAGGTGCCAAAAGCGGTACGACGACTGGGCCAGGCCGATCCAAGCAAAATATGGTGGGCTGGAAGCATACATCAAGGCGTATCGCCTGCAATGGTCCGATGATGCTCTACCTGAAGAATATGTGCCTGGAGCCATCACCTCAGCAATCTGTTCGGACGCTCCCACCACCAACGGAGACGGAAGCACCAGGATTGCTGCACCTCCAACCTCAGCCCCAAAGGAAACACAAGAACCGTCCTGGCGCGGTCTGTACTACTTCCACTCCTCGATGCCGTCGACGATGGCAAAGGTCATCCCGAACGACTGGCCGTACGGCGTGCCGGCCGACTGTGGGCACTACGTCGTGTGGTGCCGCCTGCCGATCCTCCACCCATCGCTGTTCAGCACGCCGGACACGCCGTTCCCCAAAGGAACGAGCAGGGATGCGCTGTACGAGGCGGTCGTAAGCGATGGGATACGAGGGTTGACCGGGCATATGGCTACGGATAGGGAGAAGGGGGATGGTGATTTCCGAGTGATCGGGGAACATACTGTGGCATTGCTGCGGAAGAGCAAGGAAATCGACACGTTTACACCTACGCCGAGCGCGACAGCCAGTCCGATGCTCGGGCCGCGGATGATAGCAATCCAAGCTGCTTCCCATCTGAACGCCAGGACCGGCACCGGTCCGAGTTCGGGCTCGAGAACGAGTGCCGTGGACCCTCCGATCCTGCCACCCTCTGCGCTATCCGTGCCAGTCGTCCCAGGCTCGTCGGCGAACGCCCTTTCTGGCACTGGAATTGGAACTGCCAACGCATTGCACATGAGGACACACGCGGCGGACCTGGCCGAGCGCGCGCAAGCGTGGGCGGGACGGCACGTCGACAGCTTCGTGCGTCGCACGTGGCCACCGGACCAGGGTTGGCAGACGGCGTGGTTCTGCAATCCGCCGCACTTGCGGACCGTTCCCGGGCTAAGTCATTTCCAGTGAGTGTCCGAACGCAGTCCTTTTCAAACAATGGGGATCGCCAACGAGCGCAGAGTAGTGGCTCGACTCTCGCGTGGACGGACGCCGAGCTCACACTGCGCCTGCTCTTCGTACAGCGTCATCGTACGTCGGCAAGCGGCGCCGCACAACGAGCGGCAATAGCACCGCACACCAATCCGGACGATGCCACTCTATGATCCTCTCGAGCGCCCCACTGCACACAGCACATCTCCCAGAGTATGCCTTTGCGGGGGCCTTCCTGTGTTTCTCTCAGCAACCCAGGCGGGCGAGGGCGAGGCATACCCGTTCCTGTACAAATAGACCCACCGGAGTACAGTGGAAATGAGTTATGAGCGCTGGACACGAGCTGCCGTGGGCCAGGCTAGGACAACGTGAAAGATCCCCCCGCCCCCAAAACAAAACACAAAAGCAAATTTTGGTGTTGGCAAACGCATCTACATCGGGAAAGGGGAACGAGGGCGCAAAGTGCTTTACCGCCTTAGATTCTTCAAGGGTTAGCACCGACCCACTCAACACCTGCAATTGAAATGACAAAAAGGAGCATACATCAGTATCGCACACCATTCCTACTCCCTCGCTCCGATTCCGTTCTGCCGCGGGGCGCTCGGCCCGCTACGGTTACATCGCCTGGCACTCACCCTTGTGGATGTTCTTCTTGAGCTCGGGCAGGCAGGCCTGAAGGAGAGCCTCCTCCTCCTTGCTGATCTGGCCCACGGGGTGGACCTCGGTGACGCCCTCGGTGCCAAGAGTAACGGGGGTGGCGAAAAAGTCAACACCTTGGTCCTTGTACAGCGGGCTGTCGACGTACGCGCACTCCTTCACACCCTGCTCGCCACCGAGGGCGCGCAGGAGCGAGTTGGTGAACACGGCAGCGGCGTACGCCATCGAGAGTGTCGCGCTCCCCGCGCCGTCCTTGGCCTTGACGACCTCGTCACCGCCGAACTGGATGCGATGCACGAGCTTCTCGTACTGCTCGCCAGGCTGCACGGACGCGTTGGCGCTGCCAGCTTGCGAGAGCAGCGGGACGATCGTCACGCCAGAGTGTCCACCAACGACGGGGACGATCGTCTCGGACGGCTTGCTGCCCGCGATGCCCGAGAGGAACGTCGAAGCACGGGTCACATCAAGCGTGGTGACGCCGTAGAGCCTTGCAGAATGAAAGGACAAGTGTTTGTCAGCAACCGAGAAGTAATGGATGAATGAACAAATGAACGACACAAAATACCCACTTCTTGGGGTCGTAGACGCCGGCCTTCTTGAAGACTTCGGCGACGATGGGGACGGTCGAGTTGACCGGGTTGGAGATGATGAGAATATGAGCCTTAGGTGCGACCTTGGCGGCTGCCTTGGCGAGGTCTCTGACGATGGAGGCGTTCGTGTTGAACAGGTCGTCACGCGTCATACCCGGCTTGCGCGGCACGCCTGCAGGGACGACGATGACATCTGCACCCTGGAAGGCCTGCTCAAGCCCGTTGTTGTCTGGCGCGTAGCCTGTCACGACGGCGGGGGTGTTGACGTGCGAGACGTCAGCGGCGACACCAGGTGCCATGCGCAGGTCGTACAGGCGCAGGGACGTGACGAGTGGGTCGTTCTTGAGGAGCAGCGAGAGCGGTTGGCCTGGAAGACAAATGAATAGGAATATACGCATTAGACGATGCCATTCAAAGCCCAGTAGCGGCGACGAAGGCGAGTGCCGCTCTACCCACCGATACCACCCGAGCAGCCGGCGATGGCAACATTCTTGTTGGCGGCCGCGGACGAGCGGAAGCCACGTGCGAGGGCGAGCGTGCGGCTCGCGGGGCGAGCCGCTGAACGGAGAGCGTTGGTGAACATGATCGAAGGAAGGATGTGCGGGAGAGAACTGGCAGCGAGTGAGCAAGCAGTTGTGCAGTGGAGAGGGGTGCAGGGATGTGGGAGACGAGATGATGACGAGATGCTGACGAGAAGAGGATGCGATGCTGCTGCAGTTAGGAATGTCGATGGTGATGGACTGATGGCGGCTGCTGGCAGCGGCATATGTGGCTTCCCACACTGCTCCCGTGCCCTTCGTACTCGAAGAAGAAAACCGTCTGCTGGCGTTCGTTGAGAGCGGAATGAACCGGAATCCAATCGCTGACGGGAAGCGCAGAAATGTTAGGGTTAGTGCACTCGAGAGACTGGAAGGATATGCACAGGCCACCCTCTCCTATAGAGACTTGAGCAGACCGACTTCGTTGCCAAGCTAATACACAGGACGCATGCAATCAGATACATCGATGATGCCCAGCCTGCCCTCTTGCACGCAGAGTGGGCACAAGTGCAGAAAACAACACCACCTCCCCCCCTCAACACTTGGAGACTCTGCAGCGATGGCGCCTGCGTCTTCATCCGCCGCTGCGGCGGCGGCAGCAGCATCCGCAACAACCGCGAACGCAGCGGCAGCGTCGACAGCTGAAGGTAAGGCTGGCGAGGACCCAGATGGTGAGTACGCGTGCCGGTTGCCTTGGTGCACTGCAGCAGGCCGACCGCCCCTTCTCAAACCCGCACACTTCTTTTATGCATAATTCCATCGGCGTACATGAGTGCAGCGGTCGAGTCGCGCGTAGACTTTACCGCGCTGCCGACGGCACAGCTCGACACGTACATCTCATACTACGAGCTGGCGCCCGCGTTCCCGCCCGCGCTCGACCCCGCGCCGCCTATCCTCGACCCAGAGTACGAGACCAGCAGCTATAATGCCCAGAACGGAGAGGTGGAACGCGCCGCGGAGGATGAAGAGGAGGATGGCGCAGACGACGACAACAACAACGGCGACGGCGAATATGACGATGCGGATCGGGACTACGGCTCAGCAGACGAAGCAGAGCGTGGGCGCAAACGAAGGCGAACGACAAAGGCAAAAGCAACAGACCGGAGCCTAGACCGGCAACAGCCGCCGCCGCTTGGCCGAAGAGCAGCTGCGGCGCTGGCCAGCGAGCGCCTTGCAAGCAACCGACACGACCCCTTTGGCCTTGGGCTCGACGCGAACAGCAGCGGCGCGGATGGCAACGATTACGCTGCGCATACGAGCAGCCTGTCGTATGCCAGCGCTGCGGGCCGCGCAGGCGCTGCAGGTGCGGGTGCAGGCGAGCTGGCGCCAGGCGCGCACGGCAGCAGCGGCGCGACTGCGTGCCCAGAGAGCTTCTTTGACGGCGACGCGGCCACCAAGTACCTCGCCGCCGTCGCGGGGCGACACTTTCAGTCGCTTCCACAGCCAAAGGAGGGCGAGATTGTTGTCGGCTTCCTGTACAAGTGCAGGACCAAAGGTGAGCGGAGATGGAAGCGGAGCCTGTGTCGCTCTGATGGGTGTGTCGCTGACGATGTTTTTGCGTGCGTCGTGTGATAGACAAGATCCTCAAGATTGCGTGAGTCGACCCGCTCACGCTGCGACCTCGCCCTACTCCCTTCGTCATCCTGCACTCTCTCGCTTGGGCCTCTGTATTCATATTGCGAAACCTCGCAACCTGGCCCGCGGAGCATTCACCTCTCCATGTACATATACTCGCACGTACCCGGGACCTGTGTAGCATAGCATCGCACAGCACAGCATAGCACAGCACACCTGAGGCCCGAAGTACAAGATCCGCCCCAAGAGGCGCGGCTGTGCGGGGGAGAAAGTGCGATGAGGAGAAGAGGTACTAGTACAGAATGACGGGACAGCGCCACCCAGCGACATAGTCGGTGACTTGAAGCTGGTGATACAAGCGTGGTTGGGCGAGTTTGCGATGAGGCATTCTAGAAAATGCGGCGAGGTAAGATATTCGGTTGAAGGAAAGACGTGAGGTTCATGATAGATGGAATCTACCGGGGTCAACCGGTTGCCTGTCCGTTTCGAAGTCTGTTGTCAGCCTTTCTATCGATTCATATCATCTACCACAGTGTAGAACCTCTACCGGGTAGCCTGGCTAGCTGTAGACGTGGCCCGTCTTCGCCTTCTCGTCCTGGTTAATAAGCTAGCCACTGTTCTCAGAGCAGTCCCCAGCGAGCGTCTGCGCAAGCTTGGAGTACTCGCGGATCTGTGGGCCCACTTGTAGAGCGTGTATAAGGGGACGCCGTCCTTGCGGCATACATGCCATACACAGAATTTGAATATGTCAAGTCTGCGGACAACGGTTTACTCAGGGAGTGATCCACGTCGGGAGCAACGAGGAGGGGTGCATGTGCAACTCCGTGAAGTCTTATTGGCCATAGGTGGATTGGAGTAACTCTGCCGGTATTCATGAACGTTAAGGGGCATAGTACCGGCATCTTCAAGAATCCGATATATGATTACACTTCCACTCACCGCAGAGAATGAAGATGAGCCTGGTAGTAAGCAGCCGTGCGAAAATAACCATAGAGCGTCGTTTGCAAGGCGTTTTGGAACGGCCTCCTTATCAAACGCACATGTCAGAGAAGCCGGAAAGCAGCGCCAATCAAAGGATGATGGGCTCGCGGAACAACATCTCGAACGGGTGAATCCTGCATGGGGAGCGGTTCATGCACGACGGAGGTCAGTCAAAGTGGCTAGCAGCCTGAAGCAACTAGAGGGCCATGTACACACCAGTATTTGACGGTCTAGTTAAGCCAGAAACATCCGTAGCGCACTTAGTTCGGGTGCCAGATGTTGATCTCTCCCCACTTGCGGCGAGGCTTCGCGGTCGAGTAGGGTAGCAGCAAGTGTCTCGGGGACGAGGAACAGAGGAAGAGCCGGACAGCGCCCCCGAAGATGAGTTTGAATCCTGCGCGCCACATTATATAAGAGTCGGATAGCGGCAGGGCACCCTCTAAAGGAGACCACTTACCAGAATTCTACTTGAGAGGAAGATACTGCTGGACAAAGCCGCCGATGTAGGTTCCGATGCCACCGACTAAGAAAAGGCACGACGAACGCGACGGCAAATTGCTGCTCGTCTGGCTCGGAGTGATCAGTAGCCATGCCGAGCGTGACACAGCTGCCAGCAGTGCACAAGCCACTGAGAAAGCATGCAACGATGAGCGAGCCGTTATTGGGCGCGAGCGCTGCAAGCACCTGCCAGCAGTTGACGACGCCGGGTGAGACCTAAAGAACCGGCCAGCTTCCGATCTTCTTGGACTACGGCGCCCAGAACTCGCAGTCAAAGGTGTACGCGATAAGGAAGATTGTCTACCCCTTGCGCGCTGCTTGCACCGAGACGTTGTGCTTTTCACAAGATACCATCGATGGCGTTGGAGAAGATACCTGCGACAGGGAAAGGCGGGTAAGGGAATATATTACATGCCTAGGCTCAGCGCCGTGCACGATCTAGCTAAGGTAAGCGAGAAGGGCCCGACTCACTGTTGTTGAAACTCATGAATATCTGGACCGCGAAGTTGGTGCTGAGGGTCAACCATTTGCGCCAGAACGGGAACATATAGCCGATTGCCAGATATCCAGCGCGCTCAATGGACACAAGCGTTTCGCCTTCTCTCGGTGCAAGCTCCGTCCTTTCTCACCCTGCCTGTTTCTCTAGGTTCGTCTTGAGAAGATCTTTCTTCTTTTGCAGCGCTTGAACACCATGTCTTCTATGTTTGGGGCTCTGGTGATGGGTTTTTTCTCATTCTTGGACTTGTTGAAGTACTATCCGGTGAGCGTCTCGCTGAGGAATGGCATGCCGTCGCTTGGGTCCACCGCGTAATTTGGCTTCATCGGCACTGGATGAGGCAGTGTATCGTTCGAATCCCCGCTGGAAGCGATGGGGTGTGTTTCACCTTCTATCTTTCGATTGTTCGTTTGTGTCGGTGGGTGCGGCGTACCTTGGTCCTCTTCCTGCGCTCGTTCGATCAAACCTCTGTAAAACGCGCTGGTGATATCGGCTACTTTGGCAGGCATACGAGCCGGGCGCTGCGATTGCTGGAACGTTGGTGCCAGCGCTGATGATCCGAATCAGAGCCAACCTTAAAAGATGCTCATCTGTATCTGCAGGAGCAGTATCGCCAATAAGGGGAGCTCGCTCGATTTTGGTTCAAGGCCTTACCATGGTCAGCATACCTCAGCAATTTGACGAGTAGGTCAAACGACTCTCCAAGGGATGGTGACGAAAGGCGACTAATAAGATGAAATGTTTGCTAGTGCCACGCTTACACAGCGCATTCCGTATTCGGACGTTCCTCCCGGAGTCAGAAGTGCCCAGCAGAGCAAACGTCAAAAGGCTCAGTGGGACCTTATCGCTTCAACGTCAGTTCAAATCACGGGCCTGCAAGGGCAAAGAGCTGGCATCATCTGTACGTAGACCCCAAAGCGAATGAAATCTATTTATCTCAAGAAACAGCTCCTTTCCATGCCCTGAGGCGACGCCGCCGCCGCTTGGCAGCCAGCCTTTGGGGAGGGGGTTGCCTCCGGTGATCCTAGACCGGTCCGCAAGCTAGGGCTAGTGCTTTGGGCGGAGATTACCCCGATGCCAGCGGCTTCGCATGGTTGGGCAGCATCGGAAAGTGAAGCCATCTCTCCTTTTAGACACTGCGCTCTCTTCAATTGATGTCAGCAACCAGTGCAGGTGGACTGTGCAGGTGATTGCACCGGATGTCGAATGCTCGACGCCTTTTTGTTTGGGCGTTGGATGCATTGATGTGATCGGCGTCTCCACCTCGAAACGACTCGGACTCGCAACAATTCGGCCAGTGCTAAGCATTTGCATGCTCAGTAACTATTTGCCTGAATCTGCAGATCTTTCTGGAAATAAATTCTCTGTATGTCCAAGCCCCAGCAACGTTCGATTGAATAAATCTCCTTGTAGCCGAGCCGCCTGTAAAAGCTTGGCGCCTGAAAGCTCATCGTGTCCACAAACATTGACACGCAGCCTCGCTCTATCCCTGCGTCTTCCGCTTTCCGCATGAGTGCATCGCCGATTCCCTGCCCGCGCAGAGACGGATCGGTCCACAGCAGCCGGATGAAGACGAGGCCGGTGATCGTATATCCCGACAGACCCGCGAGCATCTTGCGCTTCTCGTCCGTACGCTTGCCGTTGCTGTCAGTAAGCCACTTCCCGGCGCTATCGTCGCTCCCCTCGGGAGCGTAGTACGCAATGTGGAGTTCTTTTCGTTCCCATGCCAGACCAGGTCTGCAGCAGCGACGAGGTGATGCCCAGATGCACGTCAGCTGCTGACCGCAATGTGGCGAAGAGAATTAGCTTCGCGGTACTGGTCCCTCACTTTACTTCATTCAGGTGCTCCGTCAGACCGTCGCCAAGAGCCTTGTCCAGCCCTGGGATCGGAGTGTCAGACAGCTCCAGCCCGAGTTCAGAAGCTGACATATTCTTCCGTGCCGCTCGAACGTGAATGAAAGAGAGTTAGACAACAACGAGATTTGGTAAGAGGCTAGTCCGAGAAAATTGACGGTGATCGCTAACCCTCCTCTACGATCTAGAAATGCTCCTCAGTTGTTATACAAGATTGATATGTGGATAGGCTGTAGATGGCGTGTCTTATAGAACTCAGCATCTGCTGAGTTGCTGAACACACCATTGCTCCACATGCAAGTACATTATTGACTGATGGAGTGGACTACGCAATTTTTCGCATTGTGTAGCGGGTGTAGAATTGCTGTTTGTTGTCATCGTAGTCCATGATTTTCATATCTTTCGAGGACATGTTAAACACCCACGTTCTTGACGAGTCTAGGAACGTAACACGCCTGGCTACTACCATGGCTACCCACGTCGATGTCTCACGCTGAAGCAACGCAAGAGACTATCAGCCTCTCTTCCCGCGCCGCGACGCTCGATGCCACAAGGTTGGAACACGGATAGAAACTCGGCTATCTTTTTAGAATGGTGCGAAGGGAACAACGTCATCATAGATGACAGGCTCCAATTGCGCACCGGGCACGGTCTGACAGCCGCAGAACAAAGGCAAGCTGAGGGCGACCATTCTTCAGATGCATGGGGGTTTGCTGTATCGGAAGATCACGGTATTATCGAAGCCGATGCCTTCCGTGAGTCCCGAGCTGGAAATATTGGTGTGCCGCACCTTCTTTGACAGATTGCATCGTCGACGACCACATTTGCCCAGTGATGGTATGTCCCAAGGGATCTCTACTCTCCGTCCGCACATCTGAACTCTTCACACGTCTAGGAAGCGCGTGCAACGTCTTCTCATCAGAGTCCATCAAAGGCCTCAACCTAGCGCTATGCCTCTTGTTCGAATACCTTCTCGGGCCTAACTCGCGATTCTGGGGCTACCTCCAGAGCCTACCTGATGCGGTGAACCTACCGTACTTTTGGTCGGAGGGCGACGAAAGGCGACATGCGCTAGCCGGGACAGAGGCGGAGCGGCTGCTACAGCGCGCAAAGGGGATGGAAGTGAGAAGTTCACAGTGAAAGGTGGCGATGAGCCGATTGGAGAGCTTACGAAGCCATGAACACTTGCAGACCGAAATCTCTGCCAACGTTTTAAAAGAGTTCCTCCAGAACCAGGGGATGTCTCTAATATCTCGAGCTCTGACATGGTCTGACGCCGCTAACAGCTCTCACGACGCACCTCGGTGCTTCAAACTGCGAGAACTTCACAGGTACAAGGGTGAATGTCGTTCCAACCTCACGCAGGTGCTTCACCTCACCTTCCAAAATGCATTCTCCCTCGTCTCCTCACGCGCCTTTGTCGTCGATCTCTACCATGGAATGTCCATGTGCCCCGTCGCTGACATCTTCGACCATGCCGAGGACCACCATGCGCATTTCGAGTCCGAAGACGCTGTATGCCAGCACTGCGGAAGACTCGCAGCTCGGGGATGCAAGCATGCCCTTGAACCCCTGCTGTCAGCGTCTCTGCCGCCGCAGCAACCGTCGCTACCCTCCGAGTACCTACCGCTACAGTTGTACGACGACCCTGTCGTCATCCGCGCTGTGCGGCCCATTGGCGCTGGAGAGCACGTCTTCAACACCTACGGCCGCCTAAGCAACGCCGAGCTGCTCCTGCGTTACGGCTTTGCGCTGGACATTGCCACAGAATTCGATCGCTCCACCTGGAACCCACAGCAAGATGCCGAAATGCTTCAGCTCGGCGCCGCGTTCGAGTGCGAAGAGATAGGAGCATTGCATCGTGCACTTACGATCGCTTGCAATGTACCCGTCACTTCAGCGGAGGCAGCGTGTGATACGCTCTTCCACGAGATAATTGAGAGTGATTCGGGCTCAACTGCCGTGGTAGCCATCGATGCTGAAGGACGAGCGAGCATCCAACTATGGCGCTTAGCCCTGGTGCTGGCAAGCGGCAAGGCACAAGATGTCGATGAATTTTTCTTTCATCACGCCGCCATCAGCCTCTTGCGCAATGCTACCGACACCAGTGTCAATGCAGATGACATCGGGGACTTTGGAGTAGGGAATTCGGCGCATCGTGCCAGCATGCGACTGTGTACTCTCTTCCGCCGCCGCATTGAAGGGTTGCAGGTACGGAATGCTATCGAGGAAGAGGCGGCGTTTGACATGATGGAGAAGGTAAGGGCGGTGATGGAGCAGTTTCCACTGCAAATTACAACACCTCGTTCTGACTTTAACTTTTTGTTTGTGCGTCATCAGTCGTCGGACGCAACACTCGTCGCTGTCCTTCGCCACGCGCAGCAAGAGTACTATGCGCTTAAGACTGCCTACGAAAGATTCAATCACAGTAACTTTTACAATTGACTCGTGAGCATGAAGCGCAGCATGGCGTGAGCCAAGAATGATTTAAGAAAAGGGTATGACAATTGTGGAAAATACATGATACAAATTGGCGGACCTTTATTTGGTGCTGCTGAAGCTGCAAATGAATGCGGAGAATGTGTTCTAGGCTTAGGCGAGAAATTGCAGACAGTCCCGCGCGTAGCTGGGGAGGTCATGCATGGAGAAAAATGGTTATTGCATGTGGCGTCAGATGGTTTGTGCCGGGAGTGCGTCATTCTTTGCGACCTGGAAGGAAGGCCCATGCGGTACCTGTAGCTGCTGCGACGAGCGAGACAAAGAGGATGAAGATATCAACCCCAATGCGAGTCCAGGACATTTCGCGGTGGAAGAGTTTGAGTTCTGGTTCGAATCGCAGACAGGTAAGGTTAGTCTCTGGCAAGGAGAAGGTCCGCTATGATCAAGGAATGCGCTCGTTCGCATGTGCTTACTCACTCGCGAGCAAAGGTCCGAAAACACAGGTCGCAAAGGCGAGGAATGCGCCCAGGAATGCCATGACCTTCTCGAAGCCGGGTAGGACTGCGGCCCAGTCAAATTCAGGAGAAGTCAGTACGATCGATTCCCAATCGAGCCCTCATGAGTGACCTGAGCCGCGCAACCTTACCTATCGCGGTGACAGTGATGAGACAGGCGATGGAGACGCGTATGCCGATGCGTAATGACGACTTGACGCACGGTGACCACTCCGATGTCATCTCTGCAGCACGGAGGGAGATTCTTGAGCCTGACAGCGGATTCGCATCGTTTCCAGTATTCCCGATGCCGTTCGCCAGGCTCGCACCACTCGTGCTGGAAGATATAGCTCCGGACCCTGTGTTCACATCGACACCACCGGACGCGTACCCGTTGCTCGACCGTCGCCTGCCGCTGCTGGCAGACTTCCGGCGAGCAGACGATTTTCTGCAGGATTGCATTTGTGTGCACACCTGGCTTGCTTCGACGCCAAACAGTACCTCGACAGTCGCGTTGATGGGTCGCGCGGCAAGTGCAAACTTGGCGAGCGGGTTGATGACGATCAGCCAGATCGCGATTCTATTCAGGGTCGCTGGGAAGCCAGGTGTGCGCGCGAGGTCGCGCGTGATTTCGTCGCTGACGTGCGTACCGAACATGGCATATCCTACTGCGCCCATGCCAACATAGACGAAAGTAGCGGCGATGTACGCGAGATCGAGCATGCGCCCGAAGGTGCGTGGATCTGGATCTTGCATGTCCTTGACAAGCGAGGGGATGACCGGATGCGAAGAAAAGCCGGACATGATGAGCCCGAATGCCAGCGGCAGGCGGTCCCATTGCGGCCATAGCGTCATGGGGCCGGGGCGCCACAGACTGCCGGGTGCCTCTTGCTTGATCAGGCCGTCAGAGAGGACGACGGCGAAGAGCGTAAAAGTGGACACAATCCCGATGACGGAGATAGGGGAGAGGAGGTTAAGGGGCAGAAAGATGGTGGGAAGGATGAACGCCAGGCCGATGGCCTTGTATGCGTTAACCGGCAGGGTAGGCGGCAGAATCGCCTGTGCGCTATCGGCAAAGAGGATAATCAACGCGACGCAAACGGCCCAGAGCTCGAGGCAGAACAGTGCGCTGACGGCCAACCGGGCCCGCGGACCGAACGCATAGCTGCCTATATCCGCATAGGTACGCAAGCTCGGCTGGCGCGCCATGATGCGCGCGAGAATCTTGCCGGTGTAGTTGGTCAGTGCCCCAGCAAGGAGGAAGAGCAAAGGCCCAAAAATCCAGCCAGCGTAGCTGAATGCTAGCGGGAGTGCCAAGATTCCAACGCCGATGAGCGCATTGAGAGTGTTGAACCAGCTTTGGAGAAAGGTAGAGGTTCCATATTGTGCAGCCACATCTTTTCGCAAGGATCGCTGGCGCTGCAGCAGCGCACCTCCCCCGCTTGCAGATCCCGAGGCGGTTCCGGTCGCCGCTGCCGCTGGTGAATCTGCCGCTTTTAACAAGGGCGTCCGCTCGTTTGGTCCTCCAGCCTGGTTAGACTGGCTGAGGCGGCCGACTGGCAGACCGTTCTCTTGCAGCGGCGCCTGCGCTTGCCATCCACGCTCGCCCTTAAACCCGCACAGGAGCGGGCCACCGCTTCCGGGGCATGTACTACCGAAACTACCTCGCCCATCCTGACTCGTGCTGCTGGCTAAACGCTTTGGGGAACGACTGCGACTTCGTCCTCGGCGCTCCCTTCGCTGATTGTCATCCTCTTCCAATGCGTCTTCGGCGGCGCCGTCCGCAACTGAATCCGAATCGTCTGCCAGAGATCGGAGCCGCCTGCTGCGCGCCGCTAGCGCAGCCGCACGCGCCTTGTTGGCAGAGAGTCGGCGTTTTTGCTGCAGGCTGGATCGCTGCACCGAGTTAGGAGGAAGTTGTTCGCCTGGCCACGCTGTTGCGGACGATCCGCTTGCATCGTTATACTCCCTATTGTGGTCACCGTTCACCTCTTCCTCCTCATCTGCTACCGATTCCGAAATGTTGTCCCGCTCCTCCTCGTGCCAGTCCTCGTCCTCCTCGTCATCATCTTGCGAATCGAAGTTCGAAGAATCTTCGTAGGCGTGCTCATCTCCCGCTCGCTCACCCTCTAACCGCCGTCGCGCCCAGTGGTGCTCAACAAAGGAGGGCGATGTGCTGATGTTGTCACCATAAAAGGCTTGAGAGCGCGAGTAAGACCATACAAGATCTCTGCGTGGGATTGACCCGGGACGATGATAGCGCATGCAGTCGAGACAAAGAACGCAAAGCCCACGATTGTGCAAGGGTCAGTACTGCATCCTGCGATAAGGCGCTGGACAGGTACGGCCGAAAACGAAATCAACGAAAGGGTACGCACAGACTGCTCCTCCAAGGTGGCTGCTCGCTGCCTCTTCCATCTTTACCGCTTCCTCTTCTCCGCGGTTGTTGCTGTTGTCGCTCCGTCTCCCGAGCTGAAGGCACAGGGATCTGCCGCCCTTGCGGCATCGTTGCTATTATCGATTTACCCTGGTTTCCCTGCCTCCGCTATTTGGGAGGTGTACCTCTGTTGTCTAGCTAGTGATCTCTAGTTGAATTCGAGCAAAGGCGAAGGAATATCGCTGCCGTGCGGCTTGGATCCAAACCTTTTGGTCGTGCAGTTAAGCCAAAAAGGATTCCACGCGGAGACTGTAGATCAGCAGCCACGGCCAACGGTTGGCGTTCTCTCGTACGTATTCTTGCTGCTGCGCCAAGAGCTTTCTTGCCTCGTCGGCTGGCATCCTGGCAATGCCATTACTCAGAGAGCCACCTGCCGATAGTTGTGTGCTCCTTCCTCCGGTGTCGGCTTTCGGAAAGGACCTCCAAAACCTCGTCCCTGTCCGTGCGTCCAGTATGCCAGCCTTTCAACCCTTTCACCTTTGACTCGACTTCTCGCTCGGAATTCCCGCGATCCCGCAAAATTTCGGCCCTAAACACCTTCCTTCCCCGAATTGCCACTGACTAAGGCGGGATTTCCCGGAACTCTTGCGGGCTCACTCGTGATCCTGACATTCAGGCGCCACTCCGCGGAGAGTCCCTGTAAGCCCCATCAAATGGCCACTCACATGTTTTTACGTAATTTCGAGGACTCATGTGTATATGTGATGTCCCTCAAGGGAATCTCACGTGTCATACAACACTTGTAAACGGAATCTCACCAGTATCTGATGTTCCCAAGGGACTCTGTCGTTAGATAATTGCGTACTTGCATGTTTCCGCCACGTCACTCTTCTCGCTGGGCATCATTGAAGCACACGTCCAACAGCCATCACACATTCTCGCTTCGTGTCTCCCTTTTGCCGCTTTCTTGCAGCCTTCAGCAGTAACGTCTCGCATACGACATCCACTTTCTCTTTGGTGGCATTCGCGCGTAGACTCCTCGAGATCGACAGAAGGACGACTTTAGCCGCTTTGCCCTGATCCACCCGAGTCCGGCGCAGTGGTGAAGGTGGTGCCGCCCAATTCAAGCAAGGGAATGGAATTGGAATCTATGTGAAGAGCATTGCATATAATTACTCCGCAAAATGGAGAGGGTCCAAGTTTGCTCAGATACACAACCTCTACATGTACTTTCACTTGGCGAATTGCTTTTGCAGGCCATTCGCGAGATCCTGGACACGACAACTGCAGTTGCAGTCAGCGACTATCACCGCGTAAGGTCAATTGCTCGAAATATCAATCACCGTCTGGTAGCCGTATCGCAGAAGCCAGAAGGACGCTTCCGCTCTCAAGCAAGTCAACTTCTGTGGGCCAGGAAGTGTCAAGGAACTCGTACTCCGATCGCGACGGAAGACGAGTCAAGACTGGCCAGAAGGCGGTGGACTTGATACGATTGCAAAAATAAAGGTTATCTACAGGCTGCAATTCATAATGTCAAAGACAACTGTCAGGCGCTTGAGCTTGAGCTCCATAACCTGCGATTGGAGCTGGGAGAGCTGAAGCATACGATACACATGGTGACGCCAAGTGACTCAGAACAAGTGCCCAAGTCCGACCCGTAGTAGAAAGAGGTCACCAAGGGCAACGTGCGCCAGCTGCGTTTCAAGCTGCCGAAGGTGCAGTCCGCCCCATTTCACCGCAAGATGATCCAGGAGCGTGGGTGGCTTTGTGTGAGGCCGAGTTCGTGCTCATGGGCCTGACCTACCTGAACGAGAAACCCGCTACGGCAGCTGGCAATCTTAGGGACGCAGCCTTTAGCTCGCAATGGTCCCTGAGACTCTCGTTCGGGTAGTCGAACTTACCCTGAGGTACCTTCAAAAGCGAATTACGGCGTCAGTACGCCCATGCCCAGAGACCAGCGAGAGTCGTTTGATGATTCTGAGACTTGCGCGTCAAGGGCGACCATACTTAGCACACGGACTTTGCATCACCTGATGCACCGACTGCCGCGGCATGAGCGATAGGAGGCGGCCCTGATCAAACATCTGCTAGCACCCCTCCCGGAAGCTCGCTGAGTCACTTACCATACTACAACACATGACTCCGACGACTCAAGCGTAGCCGTGATGCTGGCACATGCGGCTCCCATGAGTCGTGGTGACATCTATACGCCTAAGCCGAGGTCTCCGGCGAACCCAGGGGTTGTTCACGTGCTCTCGCAGACACTGCCGTGTGCAGCAGTCTGGCCACCCCACCGGCGCAGAGTTCGTTGGACTGCACTGAGAAAGAGCACAAGCGCGCGGACCCGGCTTCCGAGGATCACCGGCAAGGCAACATGAACCGGGATCGTCAACTGACCGCTCTCAGCGTCAAGCAGGAGGACACGCAGGCAAGCACAGACACCTTTGGTAACACTGTCAGCCTCGCCAACCCTACGTCTCTATATGTTTCTACGGGCCGGCCGATGCTGCAAGCAACTCCTGACGGTCTTCCAGTTTAGGCGTTGTTGGACTCGGGAACCGACGCCAACGTCATGTCCGCGCATGTCGCTGCAATACTAGGCCTGAAAACACAAGGTCGCCGCAAGCGCATTCGACAGACACTAAATGAGGTCACGACACGGTCGGTCGAAGAAGTTGTGCAAGTCAGCGTGGGAGATCTCCAGGAGCATACAGAGTTTGAGGTGAGCCCGGACCTCATTATCGAGAATGCTGACGTGATCTTTGGTTTCCCATGGGTGGCTGTACATCGCATGCAGCATGATTGAGAGCAGGGGAACTTGCACCTCAACCTCATCAATCCAGCTCTCCACACTGCTGCCGTCAGTACCGCCGATGGCAACGCAAGATGGCGCTCCTGCTTTCAACTCCAGTTTCCCAGCATCGTTGCTGAGCCGCGTATCCCACCGACCCGACCTGGGGTCACACCATCGAGGTCGCCAGCAAGCAAAGCCTTCGCCAACATGGATGCCCAAGATCGTTACGGGAGTATGAAGCTATTCGACAATTCATCGATGAGTATACACTGAAAGGATTGATCGAACCAGCTGGTTCTGCCCAGTGGGCCAGTCCACTGCTGCTCATGCCCCGGCCTGATACTCAGGGTGCCCTGTGTGTGTTTTTGACTATCGCTGCCTCAGTGACGTAACCGCCAAATACTCGTACCCTTTGGCTCGAATCGATGATTGTTCCATCATGCTGCATGGCGCGAGGTTCATCACGACTTTGGATCTCATCAAGGGCTTTGGGGGGCGTGGCAGCGAGCGGAAGACAGGGCTGAAACTGCTTTCATCGCCCGCTATGGCTTGAACTAGTGGGCTGTGATGCCCATGGGGCTGACCAACTCGCCGACTACCTTCCAGGGGATGGTAAATTGCATATTGGGAGCAATGATCGACCGCACCTGCAGGGTGTATCTCGATGGCATGCCGAGTTCTCGAAGACGGAGGAGGAACACAAAAAGCACGTCCCGGACCTTTTGGCCGGGCTACGTGTGCACAGGCTGGAGTCTCGGAAAAAGTGGAAGTTGTTCCGCCAACAGCTTTACCTCCTTGAGATGATCCTAATACCCAAGGGCATCAAAACTGATACCACCAAAGTCGAGGCCATCGCTAACTGGGAAGTGCCGGCCACGATCAAGCTGCTGCGCTCCTTGTTGCGTGCAACAGGACATAGAAAGTTTCTGAATTCATTATGCTTGAGAGGCATATCCTTAGTAACCACAAGAGGTCTGTGGCCATCATGCTTGGAGTGACGAAAGCTCGTGCGTCGCGCATTAGTGCAAGGCGCAGCGATTTTGGCCTGCCTCGCCCAGGACTGTCTATAACATCATGTTGTACCCAAGAAGGAACGCAATTGCTTGATCGTGGAACGTCTAGAAGAGCCAGGAGGTAATGGCGAAGAGGCCATGGACGATGTCACGATAGAAAGTTGTTGCAGGGAGTTGCTGGTTCCCTTACCTAACACGATCAAACCTATCCTTTGTGCCCTACTCGATGCTGCTACACACATGACGCCTTTCATTTATGCGCATAATGGCATCTCCTTCTCCTTTCCCAATATATACTACCACTATGCCGACTTCACACGTCGGAATCAACTTGAGTGTCTGTAAATAGCAGCACTTCCTTTATTCAGGATCACCGGCTTCTTGGGCAATCACGCTACCTATCACCTTGCTCTCGTACTAGCGTCGCCTTCGTGCTGAGCAGAGTACAGCGCAATCCACACTCTGTGATCTTTGTCTTTTTGACATAGTCATACCAGACTAGTCCATCGCTAACCCGTTCCGCGCTTACAGGGCCTCCCTATGCATGCACGGTGGCATACCCGCGAAACAAAATACAGGCTCGCTGTTACCAAACGGAGAGCCAGATGTTTCAAGTATGTACTATTGCCGTGCTCAAAAGACGATCCATTAGCTCAGTTGGCTAGCAGCGTTCGACTGTTAATCTTGCGCATACAACTGTATTCCAAGCGACATCGAGAGGTCGCTGGTTCGAGCCCAGCATGGATCGCATTTTTTTTGCTCATCTGCAGACTATGCAGATTTCCTTTAAGAAAGGCAATCGCCGGACTAAAACATTTTTTTTGTATTTAGAATAGGCCGGGCGCTGGAATCAGTTGTTCAGGTGGCTTGTCCTCCTGCCGTCGTCGAGAATTTTTCGGTGTTGGAAGCCAAAGCATGGTCCAGGTATCGAGTTTCTCGCTGATATTGCGCATTTGGGTCCAGCAGACTGAGCGAGTGGTGGATTGACAACTCCTCTGAGGCCTACGAACCCACTTTTCTGTACGTGACATCACCTCGGGGGCTGCCCCAACCTTTACCAGTGGGAAACTGGTAAAGGTGGTTCCACCCGGAATCACTTCCTGATACTGGACACCTGGTTCCAGGTGCACGTATACACCGGACGACGTATACCTGTTGGTTGCGGGTGCAATCACTTTTCATTTTTGACCTGGTTTGCTTCTACCCGGATCAGTCTCGTAAACGCACACACAGAAATGGATTTCACCTTCGAAAGAATCAAGAATGTCGCATTTGTTCCATGCCGCATCTGGTCTGCAAATTCAAACAGGCATGTTTTCTGGGTCTCTGCAGCGCTCGGTGCTTTTCCTCTGCTTACACTTCGCTGTTCACCTGCAGTGCTTTGTTGCTCTCCAAGCCCCAGCATGGGCTCTCGCCATGCACCGCACACACCTGCCCGCCGTGGCCTGATATAGAAAGCACACGATGAGTAATACAAAATAAAAAAAAAATCGTGCCACGTTGATTCGAGTCTAGGTACCACCTGGCCTCATGTTCCTTTGCTGATGTTCCCTGCGGTCGACTCTTCCGACAGAGGGTGGACACTCGAGCAGTGCTGAGGAGGCAACAGCCATACACTGCGCCAGTGTACTCCTTTTAGCATCTTTTGCAAAAGGCACTAGCGCCAAACGCATTTGGCCCTCGCACACGAGTGGGTGCGTACCTTACTGCATCCGGTCCGCATGCGTTGCTGGCTGCCCCTCATGTGCCTCCGTTACCCCAGATAGAGATAGGCACAATAAAGATAGGCACTAACTGGCGCGAAGGTCATACTCTCCGTGTTCTCCCAGCTGTTTCACGCCATCTTGCTCTTCATGTATTGGCTATCGCCGCCCGAGGCGCCAGCGAACCACGGTAGCGTGTTTCAGTGCCCGTGGTTGGGCGCAGTCTTTTGCTCCCACCGCCTCGTGCCGCCTGTTCCGCCGATTTCTTTGCCAACTGGGCCGCATCCGCAGGTTTCTGTCATATATATTTTGTGTACGAAAGCAAAAAATACAACTGTGCTGCCAGCCCCCCGCTAACCACTGTCCACTGACCGCGGGGCGGACGCATGCTGCGATCTTTCCTGTACCATTTTAGACCCAATAAATTAATACCCTACGTACTTGGTCATACGTACTAACAGTTACCGGCACAACTCTGACACTTCCCACATGGAGCGATGGTGCATTTGATTGGTGGTTGGCGTTTGGACACCCGCACCGCGTTGCAGTCCAAAGCGTGTAGTGCATCGTACACGTTTCCGGATCCATGTTGCCCATCGTCTCATGCAGCATTCGTCGCCAGGATGGGGCTCCATACTGTACTGGCGAAGGAAGACCGCGTGGCTCGTGACGTAGGTGAGTGAGTGAGACACGTGGGCGGCTGTGACTTATTGCGATCTGCGGTTACCACACGGATGCGATATCGCCAATCGCATCATATGCTAGCGTATCGACACCATTCACGGATTCGTACTTGGTAACAAGGTGCTGTGCAAGCGCATGCTTCCCGTGTAAGCTTGTTTCGTAGGGGTCCGTGATGATATATAAACAGGCGACCGCCATCGTCCGTATCCTCGAGTCCCTTTTCCCTTCACCCCATCCTCTCCCCCTCTAGTGTCCATCGACTTCGCCCTTCCTTCCCCTTCTGCTCACCTCTGAATTATTTCCATCATGCAACTCAAGGCGCCAATCCTCGCCGCCGCGCTGGCCACCGTCTCGTTCGTCTCGGCTGCACCGGCTACAACGCCAGCCAAAACGCTGGAGGTCCCGCTGAGCAAACGTGCCGGTGCGCTGCTCATCCCCGGAAGCAACCTCATCGACTTCACCAAGGTAACGCAGCACATGCAGGCGCTCAAGGCCAAGTACGACAAGACAGCCAACAAGAACAAGCGCAACACCGGCACCGTCCCGCTCACCGACCAGAGCTCCGAGGAGCTGTGGACCGGCACCGTTAACATCGGTACCCCTGCGCAAAGCCTGAGCGTTGACTTTGACACGGGCAGCAGCGACTTCGTCGCCAATAATGGCGCATACAACCCGTCCAAGTCGTCCACCTCCACGAACACCGGCAACACCTTTCAGGTCTCCTACGGTGATGGCACAACAGGTGATCCCGTTCCGCTGGCAGCACAGCAAATGATTCGAGCCCCTTACTGACTGAGGGTCGCCTTCACTCGCTCGCAGCTTCGGGCCCCATCTACACCGATACGGCGACCGTGGGCGGCCTGACCGCAACGGGCGTAACGATCGGGAGGGCGGGCGACAACAACTTCATCGGTGACGGCGCCAATGCGCTCGCAGGTATGGGCTTGCCGCAGCTGTCCAACTTCCCGGAGCAGGAGCCGTTGTGGAAGTCGCTATCAGACCAGGGCAAGATCAGCCCCGTGTTCAACATAAAGCTACGCACCAGCGGCTCAACGCTCATCCTCGGCGCTGCCGGCTCAAGTCCCACGTACACCTCGCTGTCGTCCGACGTCGGCTACTGGCAAGTTGCAGCGAGTGTGAACGGGCAAAACTTCCAGTCCGTCGTCGACTCGGGCACAACGCTCATCGTTGCGCCAACCTCGGCGGCGAAAAAGCTCTTCAGTCAGCTCGGTCTATCGACCTTCACGCAAGACTCGACGCTCTACGCGTCATACGACTGCTCGTCGACCCCGCAGGTCACCTTCAACTACGGCAGCAAGTCCATCACCCTCTCCTCCGCGACCGCCACGTTCGGCACAACAAACAGCGGCTCCTGCGTTCTCTCCATCGTCGGCGAGGACATCGGCTACTCCGCCTGGATCACTGGCGACCCTCTCTTTCGCAACACTGTGGTCACCTTTGACTACACCAACAACCGCGTCGGCTTCTCATAGATGATCAATGTCCCCTGTGCGGGACATGGATGGAAGTCAAGTAATTTAACACCTGCCAAAAAGGAAACGGCCCCTTAATGTAATGAAATGGTTGCATGCAGCAATGACCATGCGAGCCTTCCACAGCTCTACGAGCAAAATCTGGTATTTTGCGCTTCATTTACAATCGCTGCTTGACCCACGCCTCGAGTCCGCCGGCGACAAAAATCTCCTGCACGCTGCGTCCGACGCCGGCGGGCCGCGTGACGTAAGTGCGCTCGGTAGGAACGCCATCTTCCTGCATGTGCAAACGCACACGACCATCGACGCTGCTAACGCTGACGTCGCTATCACGCAGTAGCACCGATACCTCACCTGGCCGCTTGCCGCCATTCCCGCGCTGTCCATCCTTGGCGTACTCGCGCGTCAAATCCTCGACCAGCTCGGGACACTCGAGGCACACAAGGCCGTTGTTGATCGCGTTGCGCTTGAAAATATCCCCAAAGCTCCCCGCGAGCACGAGCGGGATGCCCGCGTGTTTTAGGGCTGTTGCGGCTTGCTCGCGCGAGCTGCCCGTCCCAAAGTTGTACCCGCCAACGAGGACAACGCCGCGCCTCGTTCCGGCATCGGCTTGTGCCGGTGTAGCTGCCACGGCGCCGCCTTGCTCCTCGCGCAGCCTCGCGACGACGGCGGCAAATCCCGGGTCGTAGTTCTCCATGACGACCTCCGCCTGCTTGGAGGGCGTGATGTCGTCCTGATACGTGTACTTGCCCGGGTAGAGCGCGTCAGTGTTGAGATTGTCCTGCGGCGCAAAGATCAGCGGGCCAGCAAAGACGCGTGGAAAGTCTCCCAGCAGCAGGTCCTCCTCTGGCTCGCTGGTAGCGGTGACGGCGGCAGAGGCAACAGAGGTCGGATCGGGCCCGGAGCCGAGCTCGGACGCTGTGCGCCCCGGGTACGAGATGCTGAACTGGAGTGCATCGGGCGCGGGAAGGAGCGCGGGGTCCAAGTCTGTTGGCCCGCAGATCTTTCCCTCGATGGCGGATGCAGCGACTACGGCGGGGCTGGCCAGGTAGGCCTGCGCGTTGGGACTGCCCATGCGGCCCTTGTAGTTGCGATTCGTCGCGCTGATGCCGACCTGGCCGTCTTCGAGCAGGCCGATGCCGAGACCGATGCAGGGCCCGCAGCCAGCGGGCAGGGGCCGCGCACCAGCGGCCATCAGTGCACCCCAGTCGCCGGCATCCTCGGCCTCGCGCTGGACGATGGACGACGCGGCGGCGACGTAAAATTCGACGCCGGGTGCGACCTTCTTGCCTCGAATTACATCCGCAGCGGCCTTGAGATCTGACGCGCGCGAGTTGACACATGAGACGAGGTATGCCTTGTGGATTGCAATGTTGCGCGCGGCCAGCGTCGTCAGCGGCGTGCTGACCTTGACGCTGTTTGGGCCCGAGACGTGCGGGACGAGCGTGGAAAGGTCGAAGCGGAGGACTTTAGAGTAGGCTGCATCGGCGTCGGCGCGAAGTGGGTCGCGGCTCAGATGCTCAAGGCGTTCCATGTTGAGGCGGAGATGCGAAGCCGAGCGCAGCGGCGAGGAGCCCATGTGAAAGTGCAGCTTGTCCATCTTGCGCACCAGCACCTCGTACCAGTTCAATGTCGTGTTGTCGACGGGGAAGACACCCGCGAGGGCACCCCACTCGGTGGTCATGTTGGCGATGGCCAGGCGCTCGTCAACCGAGAGCGAGCCCAAGCCGGAGCCGCCAAACTCGATGGCGGCGTTGAGAACCTGGTCCTGGTTAAAGTAGCCGCAAAGCGCGACAATCACATCCTTTCCGGTAACACCAGGCGGAAGCGCACCGACAAGCTCAACCTTGACCTGCTCGGGGATCTGCCACCAGGTCTGGCCGGTAGCCCAGATGGCGGCGGCGTCGGTGCGCACGACGGGGGTGCCGAGGCAGCCGACGCCGCCGTACATGTTCGAGTGCGAGTCGGACGCGACGGCGAGCGTGTGCGGGAACGCGTAGCCCTCCTCGACCATCACCTGGTGCCCGATCCCGCGGCCGGCCGGGTAGAAGTCGACTCCCTGCTCGCGCGCAAACGACTCGATCTTGCTGTATTTTTCCAGGTTCTTGGCCGATTTGTTTTGCACGTCGTGGTCCAGCGCAAAGACCACCTGCGACGCATTCCGGATACGTGTTGCACCGATCGATCGGAATCTGCAGAGAGAAGAGGCGTTTCAGTGATCCATCGGTGGCTGCAGCGTTCGTCCTAGCAGCGCACTCACTTGGAGATGCACGGACCAGTGTTGTCGTGGGTCATGACGACGTTTGGGCGGATGGAGACATAGTCGCCGGCCTTGACTGTTTGCGCCGGCCGCAAATCGACGGCATAGCGCTGGACGATCTTTTCGATGAACGTCTGCGGCTTTTGCTCGGCGCTGCTGCTTGTAGACGACGCATTTGTGGCCAGCGAGCGCTGCTTCAACTCGAGCAGGTGCTCCCGCCGGCGAGCGGAGCGGGCGACAGCAGCGAACAGCGGGCGTGTCATCGTTGTACAATCGGCGTGCAGCCGAGGCCCCTGGTGGAAGCGAGGGCGGTGAGGTTGTTAGGATGGCCTTGTGTATATGGCCTGCCGCCTATGGCGTACACATGCCTCGCTCAACCAGCTGACTGACCCACTGACCAACGAGGCGTCGACCATCACTCATCCGACCTCACGCAACAAGTCCGAGCAAAAAAAAAGGCGCAAGATGCATGGGCGGAAGGGACCAAGTGCTAAATGTATGAGATGCCGACCACGCCAAAATCTAGTTCTGCATATCTCATGCATAATGCATGTATCTCTGTATGACTCCCTCGCCTTATCGTGCATAGCCCGTCCGCCCGGCGCCTTGTGCCAGCGGCTGGCGCGGACGATGGCACAACCGCAGAGCGGCGCAGTGCTGCGCACGGAGAAAGTGAACCTGAAGCGGGAATCAAAGCGCGACGAGGACATGTATAGACAACTTGATTTCTTCTGCTTGCATCTTCCATCTCCATTTCCATCCCCCTCATCTCCATCACCACAAAGATCTCGCCAGATCTTCACCTCATACTCACCAGTACTACCACGGCCATCAACATGAACGCGAACACCGCCCGCCAGGCGCTCCGCAGCGTCGCACGCGCAAGCGGCGCCAGCACCGAGCGCACGCTCCTCGCCCGCGCCCCCGCCGCCCAGCGCGCCATGTCCACGCTGCTCGCCAACCGCAGCAGCTGCTCCAAACACGCTGCTGCTGCCGTCCCCGCTGCGTCTGCCGCTAAACAGCAGCTGCGCGGATACCGCATGCTAAAGTTCGCTGACACCGAGGAGAAGGTGTACGAGCGCTCCGACTGGCCTGTCGAAAGGCTGCAGCAGTACTTTAAGGACGACACCTTCTGCGTCCTCGGCTACGGCTCCCAGGGGTATGCTCAGTCTCTCAAGTGCGTATAGAATATCTCAGTGTTTTTTATTCTTTGGGGGGCGCTTCTCTGGCTTGCGCAGCAAATTCCGTGCTGACCAGCTTCTTTTACTCGTGTTATCTTCGTCTCTACCCGATCTGCTCTGCAATGCTCCGCTCTGTGCAGCATGCGTGACCAAGGAATGAACGTCATTGTTGGCGTGCGCAAGGACGGTGCATCATGGAAGGAGGCGCAAGAGGACGGCTTTGTGCCAGGCGAGACACTGTTCCCCGTCGAGGAAGCGATCGAGCGCGGTACGATCATCATGAACCTGCTTTCTGACGCAGCGCAGGCGTCGACATGGCCGACAATCTCGAAGCTGATCAAGCCAGGCAAGACGCTGTACTTTTCGCATGGCTTTAGCGTCGTCTTCAAGGAGGACACGAACATCGTGCCACCCAAGGACGTGGACGTGATCCTGTGCGCGCCCAAGGGCTCGGGCCGCACGGTCCGCTCGCTATTCAAGGAGGGCAAGGGCATCAATTCATCCGTCGCCGTCTTCCAGGACGTCACGGGCAAGGCGCTGGAGAAGGCTGTTGCGACAGGCATTGCCGTCGGTAGCGGGTACATCTACGAGACGACGTTCGAGAAGGAGGTCTACTCGGATCTGTACGGCGAGCGCGGCTGCCTCATGGGCGGCATCCAGGGCATGTTCAAGGCGCAGTACGACGTCCTTCGTGCCAACGGTCACTCGCCCTCGGAGGCGTTCAACGAGACGTGCGAGGAGGCGCTAATGTCGCTCTTCCCTCTCGTCGGCGAGCATGGGATGGACTACATGTACAAGGCCTGCTCCACCACCGCCCGCCGAGGCGCGCTCGACTGGGCTCCCGAGTTCGAGAAGGCGTGCAAGCCCGTATTTGAGCGGCTCTACGCCAGCGTCAAGGACGGTAGCGAGACCAGGCGCGCGCTCGAGTTCGGCAACCGCCCCACTTACAGGCAGGACTACGACAAGGAGACTGACGCCATCGCCGACCAGGAGATGTGGCGCGTGGGACACGTGAGTGCGAGCGAGCACAGGATGGATCAAGCAAGCAAGATGTTGGCGAATTGCTGATGATGTTTTCCTTTTACCCTTTTGTCGCTTATGCGCACCAGACTGTCCGCGCTCTGCGACCGGACCGCCAGAGCCGCTAAACCAGACGCAGTCCGTGTCCTCGCTATATCGACGAGGTATGCAGCAAAAAGGGGTGCAGGTGGCGCCTTGGCTCTGCTCCCATCATTCTTTCTCGATCCTGGTTTTTGACATTGTATAGAGAGAGAACGAGGTATGAGGTTGGGATTTAGTAAGCTACATATGTATATACATACGGTACATGCATGCACGCTACGACCGAAAAGTGAGCCAACGGACAACTCACAGTCGCTCAATGGTCCAAGCCTACCAAAGCTCGTTTGTCTCTCGGGCCTGAAGGATACGCGCCACGCAGTGTCATTACTCCGAGCGACGGCGTGCCGCGGCAAAGATATATGAAGCGGGTGTCGTAGAAGAAGCCTTCCAAGAGGGAGACTCGGTGCTGCGGCACAATAGCCACCGAGAAGGAAAGCTGGACAACCGGTACGACGGGCCATACTTCGTTTGCGGGGTTTCCCCGCCCGACTTCCATGAGCTTCAGCCCTTGAATGGCAAGGTACGCACTGGCACTGCGTATGGTAGTCAACTGAGCAAAGCAACGCTTAAGGAGCCCAGGCCAGGGACCTGGCCAGCAGGCTACGACCGTCCGCACGCGTGGCGTGAATCTGTTTCACCCTACCACTCTGACTCTCGCTACTGCACAACGCGCTGCCGTCTACAACTTGATCTGCTTTCCATCTATCGCTACAACATTCAACTGCTCCTGTTCCATCGTCGTGTGCTGATTGACTGTGTGCACTCTCACATTACTTTATCGAATCAGTTGATGGAGCAAGACACAGAAGTGTGCACTCAATCTCACGGCGGCCAATGAGCCCTACAACACGTCTTTTACCAATGCCAGGGGGGGAAAGGTGTGATAGACAACCGATACGCCATTCTGAAAGAACAATGGATTTGGCGACTCTCCTGCGGGAGAGAAAGGGTTGCACCGAATCTAGAATCTGAATCCTCGGAATGCCCTTGCGCAGCGGCACTATGTCTGTGTGCACCGCCCCGAACATCTGGCACGCGCCCGCGCCAACGGCAACGGACAGCAACAACAACAACAACTGAAACCCCCCTGCGGAGACAGGCATGTTGGCTATTTCATCACACAGACTTGCTCAAGTCGCAGGTGCAACGACAGAGGCACAGAGCTTACATGGAGTACATTCCTCGACATACGGCTCGCCGCTCGCCCCTTGCCGTCGGTCTATGGTAAGATCTCGGCATCGGGGTGCAAGCTCATCGCCATTCGCCATTACCCACTGCACCTGCGGTAGGAATCGCAAAGTAGTGCGATGGAAAGTCCTCAGGCTGCACCCCTGAACTGCTCTGTACGTATGTGCGTGGGTGTTTATGTGTGTGTGGCTATTCTGGGCCCTTATTGCTTGAGCAGACTCGAGCCTGCTGTCCTTGGCAATTCTCAAGCTCGATGCTGCTCTGCCACTACCATGTCCCTCCTATTACTCTGGCAATTTCTGATAACTCTCTGGAGTCTGGTCTCTGGCGTCTCTGCTGTCCGCTGCGAGCTGCCATTTACACGCCCGGTCCTAAATCTGGCTGTGTGAGACTGACTTGCTCCCATCTTTGGCATTGTTTCCTCGGGACAGCCTAGGACAGTCCAGTTGAAAGTGTCAAACGCTGCATGCGACAAGCTGCATCTCATCCCATCCGATGAGGTATGGCTCTTTCTCTCTCAGCTGCCAAGCGGAGCCCTAACCCCTCCTGAATCCAACTCACAGCACAATATAGGTGGCCTTGGCGACTTGGTGGCATTGCTTACCAGCCACCTCGCCCTTTCTTGGTTCACCTCCGTTCCTTTGCAGGCAGCATCGTGCATGCTGTCATCGTCCTTGCCAAGTCCTCGCGCACACCTGACCTCAAGTTGTCGCTGAGCGTTCGTCCTCTCTTCCAATCTCATACATATCCGCCTTCCCATCTTCCTCTCATCCTCCCACCCTCCAACATCATTCCCTCCACCTGGAGCTCCTCTATTCCCTGCACCCAATCTCCTCGCGTGATCTATCCCCCTCCGCTTCTCTTGAACGCCAGGCCGACCGCCTCGAACACGCTCCTTTTCGTTCGTTCTTTCTATTCCGACCACAGTCTAGTGCCTTCGCACCCTTTCACGACCGATTTTTCACCCTGTGCAGGTCTATTGCACGGCCGCTGCTTGTTTTCTCTCTCTGAAAGAGTCAGAGCACGCAAGATAGGGGTCAGCTTCGCCAGAAGGGAGCCCAAAGATCGAATAGGGCCCTCTTACCAACATTGCGAAATCCACATCAAGGACCATGCGTGCATCAACGCTTTCCCTTTCTCTCAGTCTCGTCGCCGTGGCCCTGCTGCTACAGGCGACAACGACGCTGGCGAGTCCTATCGGGGTACGCGTCCAGCAACGATCCTCACCATCCTCTGGCCAGGCTCTGGTGTACGCGCTGCAGAATGTAGGGCTTAACAAGCTCGGGGAGGCGCTGCAGGCGAATATGGAGGTCGCCGACGCGATCGTCGCGGATCCCGGTGCAAAACTGTTCCTTGCGCCTGTTGACCAGGTGAGTGGTGCAGGCACATTTTTCATACCCATTCGAGCCGTGCGACTGAAACTGAAAGTATGAAACTCAAATAGGCGATGAGCGCTCTCCCGCAATGGGTGACGTCTAACCCCGTGATTCTGCAAGCGACGCTGCTGCAGCACGTCCTGAGCGGTAGCATTCCCATGCCCTTGCCATCAGCACACAAAGATGGCGTCCATCACTCGGTCGCATACAGCTTGCTCACCGATACGCGCTTCGCCAACCAACCCGGCGGAAACGGGTTGCCGGTAGTTCTTTCGCAGCAGTCCAAGCGCGGCGCCGACAGGATGGTAATTGTCGAAGCGCTCGACGAATGCCCGTTCGCCGACTACTCTGCATCAGCAGCGAAAACTAGCTCGTTCTACGACGTGCAGATCGCACCCATCGCGCGCGCCATGACCGTGCCAGGAAACACGACGTTCACGCTCGACTTTATCCGCTCCCACTCGCTCTTCCTGCAGGCAGCACAGCGATACGCGCCCGAACTCGTCAGCAAATTCGACCAAATGCCAGGCGTCACGGTCTTCGCGCCTACCGATGAAGCGTGGCGCGCCTTCGCTGCGTCCGCCGGCGATGCAACGGACGACAGTGACAAACTGAAAGCGATATTGGGCCAGCACGTTGTCGAGCACCGCGCGATCTTCAGTACCCTGCTCGATTCACAAGGATCCATGACCACCTCGTCCGGCCAGCCATTACTGTTCGACCGCGCGCAGAATACCGTCCGTGTTGGCAGCAACACCGCTGCACGCATCGTCCAGAGCGACATTATCACCCGCAACGGCGTCATCCACTCGATCAACAGTGTGCTCAGCAACACACACGTCGACGCCGCTCGTGCGCACCAGGCAAGTCGATCAGCGCGGGCGTCGAGCAACGGCCCTATCGCAGGTCTCGTGACAGGTGAAAATGCCGGTTCCTCTCAAGGTACCGCTGTGCCGATTCCTGCCCGTGGCGTAGATGGCGGGAATGCATTCAAGAATGCTACACAGGCTGGCAACGGCGGTATCAGTCGCTCGGCCGGTCTCCCTGGCGCTGCTGCAGCTTCATCCAATGACGCCAGCAGCAGTAATGGCTCGTCCTCGTCGGCTTCGAGCGCAGGGACAAGTAGTTCGAATGGCGACGATGCCGACTCAAGTACCACGTACGACGGTATGGACACAGGAACAGGCGGTGGCACGACGTTCAACTTTGGGCCAAACAGCAAGAACGCTGCGCGCGCTTCACTAGCATCTATGCCGCCTCCGCTGCTCTTCTACGCTGCTTCGGTGTTCCTCGCGGCTGCTATTGGCCTTGTCTGCACCGTTTGAGGACAAAACGTGGTGTCGCGATGGACCTTTTCAATTTCGTCTTCGGTTCGTTGTAGCATATCTTTTAAGGCAGGCGTCGAATGTGGTTTCTTATGTTTTCCCTTCACAATTGGCTTCCATTGACTCATCGTGGCTTTGCCGAAGATTGATGTACTGTGTCACCTGGCACCGTCTTCTCTACCAACCGCCCGTCATCGTCGATTGCCCGCCCCTCGTCGACCCTCTGCATCTGGCCTGGGTAACCGACGAATTTGGCCAGGTCGTCGTACACGTTTGTTGTTCTCTACCGTCCATAGAACTGGTGTGCCGTCGACCGCAGAAGCTCGATGTCGTTCAGCTCGCCTTCTGGATTTGATATCGTCGGCACACCATGGGACACCGTCGTTGGCCAGATGAAGAAGCTACGCGCGCGCCGACGAGGCGTGCGATCAGCTTCGGTTGACATCGCCTGACATTGACAGTTTTAAGAACTGAGACGCACGTCTACTTCGCCTTGGCCTAGCTCCCCAGCGGGCCGCCGCACCTGCTGCCCCTCAAGTTCCACTTGCGACCCTTCATCGCCTCCCAGCTTTGCATCTTCTCGCTGAAATCCGGCGGCTGGTGCCCCTCGCTTCCTGCCCATCTCACCGCCTCAAAGGCCCAATGCGTGGTCCATCTGGATGGCACATCATTAATGCATGCGCACGCACTACAGGGGCATGCTGCAAACAGCCGGGTTTCGGGCGCTCCCGGGGTAAAACTCAACGTAAATATCGCGTAGCCGCATGCCCAGCGGCAGTGTGGCGCTCGCTGGGGAGCAAGAGGCGATGTTCTTGCGCGGGCGCAGAAGTACTCATGTTTGCATGCTGGCCGCGACGGCATCGTTGTATTATTTGAACAGAACGAAAGTATCTCCTCGTGTCGAAAGGGACTGTTCTTGATTCGCAATCACGGTGATGAGATTCAAAGGCGGAGGGTTTGTAAGGGTGGTCGCGCGATGTACCGTATACGAACTTGCGAGCTTGGGAGGGCTCAGGTGTTGCACCATTGCCGCACAACTGTCGGCCTCATGGTACCTTTGCTTTTCTGCTAAGATAGCTCTAAACACTGCCGCATGGAATCATGATGCCGGAAAGCCCCTTCCACCATGCACGGGAGAGCAGATCAGTGTACAAGTTTACAGTTTTCGAGGGTCATGCGTGAAGAGTACAGGCTAGCTGAGCTGGCATAAATGCTAGTGTTGCCCATAAGAAAGGTGCCATCGTGCAGACGAGAGGCACAATGGAAAGGCTTGCATGTGCAGAAATGATGCTGGTGTGACCTGCTCATGCCTCCTCGACGACGGCAGTCTCGAGACCCTGTACCAGGCAAGTGTGATCTTAGTTAGCAGTCGACGCTGCGAATGGGGTAGAAATGGGAGTGGAAAAACTCACCTTGAAGTTGGTGATACCGAGGACTGGGAGCGCAAGAACGTAAAGCTTCTCCTTGGCGTCCTCGTCGTCGTTCCTCTTCCTCTCAAGCCTGACGCGCATCCGTCTTGGCACATCCTTGACACCAAACTTCCAGACCTCCTCGTTGAGCTTGGGGTCAAGACGGACATCCTGCACACCCATGGCCTTTTGCGCGAACTTGACAATCTCCTTTACTGCCTTGGGGGCACGCTTCTTGAACTGCATGCCGTGCACACGCTTGTGCAGGTGAATGGTGTATTCCCGCTGGAGAGTAAAGACGAAAAGGTGTCAGCGATCCGACTATGTCGATTGCAACATGGAGACATGCGCGCGTAGTGCTCGCTAGCAGTAGCTTTTGCACCTTGCCGCAAGAGCGTGACACCCCTGCAAGCCCCGGAAGATACATCCGTCCCTCTCTCCAATCTTCCGGTCCAATCACGAGCGTTTGGCGTTGGTAGCCAAATCCAGACCATTACTTTAATAGCAGTGCTCACGCATGCCGGTTCCCAGCGAATGACCACATCCTCCGCTAATCCCTGATATCAGCTAATGCAGATGGACACAGCCTTCGTGTTGGACATGCTCTATGCCTGGAGATCAACGTCCATAACGTCTACCCTGGACCAAGCCCAGTCTACCCTCCTAATCCATCCTCCACCTCGACCTTTCAACCGCCTAGCCATCCGGTGCTGATCTTCTCAGCACTATAACTCTTTCTTTTACTAGCATCACATTGCCAGACCGAGCATGGCCCAGCCCCCGAATCCCTCTCAACCAGAGAACGACGTCCCTAAATACTAACGGTGACGACATCTTGAAGAGCCGAGCGGGTCTTCTTGCCCTTGGCAGACTTGTCCTTCGGTGCCATCTTTGCTGAGTGCGTTGTCGGCTTGTCGGGCTGATGGAATGAGCTAGATGCCTGGCCAGAAGAACTCCAGCGAAGTTGGGTTGAGATGGAAAGAGCGTTGAAAGCGAGTAAGCCTGGCGTGCTTGCTGCTTGCTCTAGGAAGCCAGCCAACAGCCAGTCAAGTCGCACGGCGGGCAGGGAGAGCTAAACGCCACAGGTGTAGTGCCCCACCATCACTCACTCACCGCAGCTGCGGCAACATTTTATTGCGCCCACTTCCGGTTTGCAATTGCACCGAATACATTACGGCACCAACGGCCACACAGCGACGCACCACCTCATATCCCACTGTGCGTGGCGCACGCGTCGGGTAACGCTCGCAGTGGAAGAGTTTGTCGACTGCTTTCGACGAAATTTGGGTACGTTACCCGTCAAACCGAGGCAAATCCGCGCTGCCGTCCCGATGGATGCTTTAACCCTACTTCATCCGACATTCTCAAGTCGACAAGCTGATTTCACAAGGCAAGACGGCTGAGGCCGTTGCCATGACGGACGCCAGTCGACTACCATTGTGGGGTGGCCTGTCGACTTCTCGCGAGACTGGCAACTCGAACACTCGCCATTCATGCTGCAGTCGCACAGGAGGAAGGACTGGCACAAATTTCATTAGATACATGGACATCTTAGACGTCGCGTAGCATACGTTTCTGCCTGTACAGACCACTGCACCTGTCAGATAGGTATGCGGTCTCTGTATTTGGCGTCTAACTCGGACCGAGATCATTCGATGAATGCAAAACGCCGGATGACGGCCATCGCTCGCAACTCGATAGCTCCGGAAGCAACCTGTAGTTTCTGGGCGTCAAGGTCGTATTGGGCTGACCAAATTCATCTGCTGTCAGCAGCTTGGAGTGGGAGGTGCTGGATGAGGTGGTGAACGTGCGCATGAGCATATCGCCGTCCGGATGACCCACAAGCTCTGGAGTCTGCAATACGACGCACGGAGTCCTTCAGTCCGCCGTCCAGTCAGACAGGATCCTTCGATCAATGAGAGATTGTTACCGGTCGGGTGCACCAGAGCTTCGTTTGATTCTGGCACCCTTGCAAAGCGAACAGAACATCTTTGCTGCACTCGATCTGATGCCTTTCCTTAAATGCTCAGAACGGCAACCGTGGCGCGAGCCTTTGCGTGTTCCCGATAACGAGTTCGTGTCATCAACTGTCGTTACATTGTGTCGTGCGCAGCGGACGATGACCGCAGAGCTGCTTCGCATCTGTATCGGTCATGGAGCGATGTGACGGCCATGGCAAATAGGAAGACACCCTTTTGAGCTCGCTCCGAATTTCAAGGGCGATCCCAAGCTTGGCTTCGGCTTCTGCAGGTCTCCTTCTAATAGTTACGATTGAAGCTCTTGTCCACACTGTCTCCAAGGCCAGATGTTTTAATGAGTGCAGGGAGCGGTGTCGCGCGATCGTTTCTAAATACCGAATACTATACACTTGGGGAGACCTAGGGTGTAATGTTTACGAGGAGCGAGACGCGCCCCAGTGTAGCGATGTTGCATACATTACACTGTAGAAACTACGAAAGAGAGCGATCGGAGTCCCATTTCAAGGACGCGAGGCCACGTCGCTCATCCCGAGATGGTGGTAATAACGCCGGTGCCGACCGTCTTGCCGCCTTCACGCAGGGTGAAGCGCGAGCCGACCTCAAGCGCGATGTCGTGCACCAGCTCGCCGCACAGCTCGACATTGTCGCCGGGCATGACCATTTTCTCATCCGCGTCTGGCGTGCCAGGCGGGTGCGTCAGCGAGACGGTCACATCCGACGTGCGAATGAACAGCTGCGGTCGATAGTTGTTCGTGAATGGCGTGTAGCGCCCACCTTCCTCCTTGGTCAAGATATAGATCTGCGCGGTAAACTTCTTTGCTGGCTTGATCGACCCAGGAGCGCAGAGGACCTGGCCACGCTTGATCTGCTCGCGTTTGATACCACGCAAGAGCGCACCCATGTTGTCGCCCGCCTCGCCGCGGTCGAGCTCCTTGTGGAACATTTCGATTCCAGTCAATGTCGTTTTTATGCTCGAGCCGAGGCCGACGATCTCAATTTCGGAGCCCTTCGTGATCGTCCCGCGTTCGACACGCCCCGTGACAACGGTGCCGCGACCAGAGATGGAAAATACGTCCTCGACGGGCATCAGGAATGGCTTGTCCATGTCACGCGGCGGCAGCTCTAGCCAGCTGTCGGTCGCCTCCATCAGTTTCAGCACGGCCTCTGCGCCAATCTCGGGAGTTTTGCCTTCGAGCGCGGCCAGCGCCGAGCCAGATACGATTGGGGTGTTCTCGCCGTCGAAGCTGTACGTTGAAAGAAGGTCGCGCATTTCCATCTCGACGAGTTCCAGCATCTCCATGTCATCGACCTGGTCAACCTTGTTGATGAAGACGACGAGTTTCTTGATGCCGACCTGCTTGGCGAGCAACAGGTGCTCGCGCGTCTGCGGCATCTGGCCGTCCGTGGCAGAAACGACGATGATCGCGCCATCCATCTGAGCGGCACCGGTGATCATGTTACGGATATAATCAGCGTGACCGGGACAGTCGACGTGGGCGTAGTGGCGGTTACCCGTCTCGTACTCGACGTGCGCTGTGGCGATGGTGATACCGCGCGCCTTCTCCTCTGGTGCCTTGTCAATCGAAGAGTAGTCGACAAACTTGCCGGTGCCAGATGTTTCAGAGAGGACTTTGGTGATGGCTGCCGTCAGCGTCGTCTTACCGTGGTCGACATGGCCGATGGTGCCAATGTTCATGTGCGGCTTGGAGCGCACGAACTTGCCGCCTGCTTCGGCGGCGTAGGTGCGCACAAAGTCTGTCATCACATGTGGTGGCGAGCATCAATCAGAGCCTGCTTCCTTGGTCTGCACATTGGCTATCATGAGCTGCTCAGACGCACTGTTGAAGCATGAGCTTGGAAGAGCCGAGCGTGCCGCCTGAGCGACATTGCGCCTCGAGAGCAGGCGCTCTAATAGGAATAGATTGCAGTTGGTGGGATCAGAGTGGAAAAGCAGAGGCGATCGGGTCAGCGAAGATGCGCAAAACTATCCGTTCTTTTGGACACGAGCAGCAATATGACTGAGGAATGAAGAGAAAACGCACCAGAAAAGCGCTGCTCGGTCGCAGCAAACGACCGATTCCGGACAGTGCGTGCGAAACCAGTCGGAACCCGAGCTGGGGTGGGAGTGCGGAGAGCAGTGCTCGCCTGGGTGGCCAGCGCCACGGAGCGGCTGCTGCTGGCGCTGTTGCGAAGGAGGCTCATTGTGGAAAATTAAAGCTGGAAGTGGGGGCGGCTGTGCTCGTCACTATGCCAGGTCAATGTCTATCAGACAGAGGAAGGCCAACGCAGATGTGCGAATGATGGTTTGAAGTGACCTGTCGGAAGAAGTGTTGCTGCTCAGCTGCTGGTCATGATGATGGTCGGTGTGAGAGAGAGGGAAAAAGACGACGGAACGCGGAACTCACTCGTCCCCAGAGGCAGGCACTAGGTCAGTCTACAAGGGAGGTGATGTTCTGGTGGACGCTCGCCCTCTCTCGGAGCGCAGCCGCCACGCGCGAGCCAGCATAGAACATACAACGTCCACGTCTCGGACTCTCGCTGCACTCAACTTGGAGCATCTTGTGCGAACGTGATCGAGGTGGACCTAACCCGCCAAGGGAGCGACTGGACGTCGTGGGAGACACACCCTTTTCCGCCTCCGCCGTCTTCTTGCAGCCATATCTGGGAAGCTGCTGTGGCTGCGGCGCATTGTGAGCTTGCTCGAAGTAGTCTGACCACCGCCGGTACCACCGCAGTCACTCGTCCACCATGTCGGATGTAGAGGAGGATGCGCGTGTTCCGTCCAAGAGGTGAGAGACGGCCGATGGCTAGCACATTCAGCTGTGAAACACACTGACAACGATCATTCTCTTCACCCGCCCCTACCCTTTCCTGTGTGCGATGTGATCGCCGCGTCACACCAGGAATCCATTCATCGATGATGAGGTAGAGGAGGACGACGACGATGGCGAGAGCGATGACGACTCGGAGGATGACGGCGGCCGTCGAAGAAAAAAGAGGCCGAGGAACAGGTCAGTGGGCTTAATCTCTTAGTAGACAAGCACGTCCTGAGAGTCGCTTCTTGCATGGCGTCGCAGGTACATTGAGGACGAAGCTCTCGTCGACGACGATGACGAAGACTTGGACGACGAGGACGATGGGTTGCTGCAAGAAGGTGCGTCAGTGCCACAAGACTGTCGGATGACTGTGTGGCTGCTCAATCAACCTCATGCACGTCTTTCTTTGCAGATGGATTTATCGCAGAGGACCTCGCCGATGACGGGCGGCAAACAGAGAGGGACAATCGGCGACTGGACCAGCTGCGCATGGCGCAGGAGGGCAAGAGCGCCGAAGAAGTCGCAGCTGAGCTCAACGCACGCTATGCTCGCTCACGGCGCGTGACAGACAGCGACTTCTCCCAGGTGCCACAGCGTATGCTGATGCCCTCGGTGGAGGACCCGAACATCTGGAGTGTCCGCTGCAAAATTGGGCGAGAGAAGAACATCATCTCGACGATCATGCATAAAGCCTTCCGCACTGGTCAGACGTTTGGCGACACATCCAACGCAGGCATCATCTCGGCTTTTGTCCGTGACTCGATCCCGGGGCGGCTCTTTGTAGAGGCGAGGAAGTTTGATGCCGTGCTAGAAGGATTGAAGGACATCAACGGCGTGTACACGAGCCAGCCTTCGAGCATCTTCCTCGTCCCAATTGATGAGATGGCAGACTTGCTCAAGATCACCAAGGTCCAGCGCGAGATCAAGCCGGGTGGATGGGTGCGCATCAAGCGAGGGCGCTATGCTGGCGACCTGGCGCAGATCATCGACCAGTCAGAAAATGGGGAGGAGGTCGGCGTGCGCTTCATCCCGCGCATAGACTTGAATCCAAGAGAGGAAGGGACGTACGTTGACAGTGCAGGGAGGAAGCGCAAGAAATCCGAAGCTAGCGGCGCAGGCCAGACGCTCGCGTTCCGGCCGCCGCAAAGGTTCTTCAATTACGAAGAAGTCGCCAAGGCGTATCGCGACAAGCCGCCGCAGCCAAAAGGTCTAGGAAGATACACCTTCAAAGGCGATGACTATGTGCAGGGATATTGCGAGAAGGATGTAAGGCTCACCGGGCTGGTCCTTGAGGGCGTCAACCCAACGCTCGACGAGATCTCGCGCTTCATGGGCGAATCCAGCGCGGATGGCATCGAGAGCGGGCGGATCGACTTCTCTCTGCTGCAAGAGGCGACCAAAAAGGAGAATGATGTCCTTTTCCAGCCTGGTGATCATGTCGAGGTGTACGAGGGCGAGCAGGCGGGTGCTAAAGGTATCGTTAACTCCCTCTTGGGGCGTGTGCTGCTGATCGATCTGGAAGGCGAGGATCTGGAAGGGCAGCGCGTCGAAGTGCCGATTCAGTCGGTTCGCAAGCGCTTCAAGCCTGGTGACCACATCAAGGTCATCTCGGGGACGCACGCCGATGAGACAGGTCTGGTGGTTAAGATCGAAGACAATGTGACCACCTTCCTCTCCGATCTCAGCCTTACCGAGGTCTCAGTGTTCTCCAAGGACATTCGAGAGGCAGCTGAAGTGGGCAGTGGTGTCAACGTCATCGGGGATTATGAGCTGCACAACCTCGTCCAGCTCGACGCCTCCACTGCTGGTGTCATCTTTAAGATCGAGCGCGAGATGTTCCACGTGCTCGATCAGCAGGGGCAAGTCATCGCCGTTCGTCCGCACCAGATTTCCAACAAGCGCGATTCATCGCGTGCCACCGCCATCGACTCGAACGGCAACGAGATGAAGACGGGCGATGCGGTGCGCGAGGTGGACGGAGAGCGGAGGGAAGGAACCATCTTACACGTCTACCAGGGTATGCTCGTCTATTTGCACAATCGCGACATCACCGATAACAACGGCGTCTTCATCGCTCGACCCAAGAATCTCGCACCCAAGTTCCACTCTGGTAAGGCTTCCACTGACTTGTCGAAGATGAATCCGCACCGATCCGGCAACAGCGGACCAATGGCGATGGCGCCGCCGGCCGTGACAAACTTCTCCGGGCGTGGCCGCGATCCTTTCAAAGGCAAGCATGTTAGCATCATCCGCGGCCCATACAAGACCTACAAGGGCATCATCAAGGAGACTCTGGGCGTCTCGGCGCGCGTCGAGCTGCAGTCGATGGCTAAGACGCTCACCGTCGAGTTAGACAAGATGGTCGAGATCGATCCACAGACGGGCGCCAGGCGCAACAAGCTTATTGGCCCAGGCTCGAACGGCAGCGTAGCGGGTAGCAGACAGGGCTCGTTCGCCCCTTCCTTCGGTGGCTCTCAGAGGAGCTCCTCCACCAACATGTACGCGGCATCGTCGCAGCTTGGCTCTGCTGCATCCTCGGGGCCGCCGGGACTGCAACCTTCTACTGCGGCCATGATGGCGCCCGGCATGATCACCGCACGCACACCCGCTTACGGAGGCTTGGGAGACAAGACACCTGGCTACGCCATGGGCGGACGAAGCATGTACGCCTCCGACACCAAGACTCCCATGTACGTTAGCAGCGGCGCTCGCACACCTGCGTACGTACAGGGACGCACGCCTGCTTGGAGCGGTGGTGCCGGAAGCCGGACGCCTGCTCAGTTCAGTCAGACACCCGCGTACGGTGGCGGCAGGACGCCCGGGTACGTCATGAACGGCGCCGCCACTCCATATGGAGGTAACACTACGCCGAATCCTTATGGCGACAGGACGGCTGGCGTCACCTCGGGTAGTGCGGTGCCGGGAAGGTCGTACACCTTGGAAACGCCCATGGTTGACAGCGGTATGCCCGGACATGCCGAGTCGAGCTGGACCAAGCAGCCTTCTTCAGCATGTACGTTTGACGTTAGCTCTACTTCCGCACGAAAGCTTCTAGCTGACGCATTTGTCGCCTTTGCAACACTTTCATTCTTTGTCGATAGTGGAAAGGCCCCTACCCATCGCAGGTATGCGAGCGAAGATTGTCGCCGATCGCCACGTGCCGCCGTATCGCGGCGGCGAATGGGACGATACGATCTGCAGTGTGACGGCCATCGACGAGGCCGCCAAGACATGCACATCCTTTACCGACGACGGACGCGAACTGAAAGATGTGCCATTCGCCAACGTCAAAGCCGAGAGGCCGCTGCTGCACCGACTCTGCCTGGTCCTGCACGGCCAATCAAGAGGCCAGCGTGCAACGCTGAAAGCCATCGATGCCAACACAGACGAAGCAATGGCCGCTTTGACGAACGGCGCGACGCTCACGTTGCCGACTGTATACTTGGCTCAGATGGCATGAGCACGTCAAATAATGAAACACATCAGACCTTTGTACTCTATCTCTTGTTGAGAAGTTGATATCATTTTCTGATGCTTTACTCGTCATCATCGCTCTCGACAACACGTTTGCGCTTTACGGGGGCAGCCAGCTCTGCAGTGTCTTCCCCGTCGTCATCGGAATCTTCATCCGGACCGGCACCGGGATTCGCAACGGCGTTCTTGCTGGCCTCTCTTCTTACTTTCTCGTTTGCCTCCTGCAAAAGGAAGAGACTGTTAGCGGCGGGGTCAAGTAGCGCAAGAAACTGCTCGAAAGCACTCACAATTTGCGCCTCCATCTTCTCCATCTCATCTGGCTCGTCATCAACATCCATTACGTCACCTTCGTGATCCTCATCTTCATCATCATCCGACCCGCTGCCCTTCTCGCGCGCGGGGGAGGCGACCACGAAGTCGTCTTCCTCGTACTCTTCGCTGCCTCCGCGGCTCGCGCCTGGACGCCCAGCGCGGCCTGCAGCGCCGCTGCGCCTATATGCGCTACTGCCACCGAGGCCTTCGCCGCCGCTCTCGTATCTGCCTCTCCGCTTGCCCATGAACGCGTCGAGCTCCTGCTCCTCTTCCTTCTTTTTGCGCTCTCGTTGCTTCTTGCGTTCGATCTCCTTCAAGCGTCGATCCTCCTCATCCTGCAACAGCTGCGGGTCCTTGTCTGGCCCATCGGATGCGGTCACCTTGGCGACGCGATGGTGCTTCACAGCCTGCGCGAGCTGTCTGTGCGTTTCAGAGTTCACGTCACTTGCCTTGAACGATAGCGTGCCGGCTACCGGAAGCTCGACGGTGAGAATCTCTGCCTCCTCGTGCGGTACGACAAGGTACGAAAGGGACGTTGAGTTCCGATTGGGCTCCGGCGTGTGTGACGGCATGCGCTTCGAGGGGAAAGTAGCAGAGCCGTTCACACCCGCGGGTCGGCGTACGGTTGCGCTCGAGGCGGGTGGATCTGACCCTAGCGAGCTCTGCTGCACCGCTGTCTCCATGGCCCCTCCCTTGATGTCCACTGCGGGCGTTGATGCGTTGGCTTCCAAGTGCGACTGGATGTCGAACAGCTCTGCGCCGACTTGTAAGGACATGGAGCCATCGCTCCATTGAACGATGCGAGCATTGCCCTCAGGGATCTGGTTGTCACAGCGTCAACACACAGATCAGCTTTAGCCTTGGTGCTATGAGAAGAAAAGCGAACCGCTCACCCTTGTTCCATCTGGCCTAGTTTCCGTGCTCCATCTCCACCGCACAGTGTTCTGTGTCTTCATGAGACTTCTCAGACCCGGGTCGACTATCCTGACCTGACCAGACGTCTCTGCCTCTGCTGGGTCCCATTCATCCTCGTCGAATGCAGTATCATTGAACTCTAAGAAGTTCGGCAGCTTAGCGACCCAGTGCTCCTTGGTGCGGCGGATTGGCAGCTGCGGTATGGTGAGCGTGGCGATGTTCTCCTCGATCTGTTCGTCGCCATGTGTATACGGCTCGTCCTCTTCCCTGTATTCGAGCGCCTCCTTGGCTGCGTCCAGCACAGAAGAAGCGCGAGATCTTCGTGGCGAAGCGGGTGGCGAAGAGGAAGCGGCTGTCGATGCGCGACGACTGCGAGTGCGCTGCGATTGGCTTGCTGGCTCCGGCGATGGTCGCTTGAGAGGCGGCCGTCCGTCGTCGTCACTGTCTTCATCCTCGTCAGACCTATCGAGCATGGAGCTTTGTAAGCTTGCAGTATCGAGCTGTTGTTCCGATTCTCCTAAACTCACTCTACGCCAGCTCGCCGTTTGCGAGTGACACGTCGGACCTCATCCTCATCCTCGTCATCCTCATCCTCCACCTCGCCGCTGCCGGCGGCCTTTTTGTCCGCATCATCCGCCGCACCGAACAGGTCACTACCATCATCCGAGTCGTCTGCGTCGCTCGCCGCGCCGTTTCTGTCCGCCGCTACTGGCGTTGCAGCCGACCCTGCAGGTTGTGCAACGTGCTGGCTTGCAGCATCTTGCCCGACTGCATGGCCGTTCGTGTCTGCTGCTGTTGCAGCGGTCGCAGACCCCGAACCCTCCGGCGAAGCCATCCTGACCCTCTGGCCGCTGAGTCTGGATCCAGGCAACGCGATGTCAGATGCAACGCCGCAAAAGACCAGTTGTTTGAAGAATGGGAAGCATGTCCTGGACTGGGACTTGATCATTGGCAAGAGGACCGCCTGTGACATTCAACGTCCAGGCAGACGCAGCGATGACTGTGCAGCACCGCCAAAAGTCGGGCGCGACTCGACTCAGCTTCCGCCCTCTGTTGAGCACCGCGATTATAAGAGCATACACCACAGCAACTTGTTCATACGGCGTCGTCCTCGCAATGTCTACCCAAATTGCTCCACACCGCGGACAAAGTGATAGTTGTACGACGCCAGAGTGATTCATGCTCGCCGCAAGCAAGAATTGGCGGCGAGCTTCACTTGACCCGCCGTCCTGGCACGGCCTGCATGCATGCATGGACAAATCATCCATTAACCCTTCGCATCGCGCGCGCGGTGCTGCCACCACGTAATGTACATGCATCAACAAAGCGTTTACGCCGTGATGGAGAACGCGGCCGTAGGCCCGCGCTCGTTGTGGTTCGCCTTGGTCACGTAGCTCCGTGCCGCCGCGTCCGAGAAGATGAGCTGCGTTGCGCGCGGGGAAACGAGAAAAGAAAAAGGTGGAGACACACACACACAGTCAGCACGGACGAGCGCAGCCCTCTTTCAACGCGACGTAGCGTGATGTGACGTACCTTGGCATAAATCGTAGCGCCAAGAAAAGGAGCGAGGTCGGTTCTGTCCTTGAAGTTGACAAAGTAGTCCGGCACTTTGAGCGCGCGCACGTTGCGCGGTTGCAGCTGATTCGGCTCGTCGGGTATGATCGCCGCTGCTGCACCTGCACCGGCACCTGGCGCCGGGGCACCGAACCCGGCGACGCCGCCGCTTTGGTCAGCTGCTCCGCCGCCCACCGCGCCGCCACCGCCGACGATAAACGGTGCGCAGTGTCGCGTGATACTCGCGGCAAGCCCGCGCGTGCGCGTCGGCGCGCCGGTGACCACGAGCGCATCCCACAAGGCTGGGCGGCGCTCCAGATCAGGCACCTGTGCGATGGCCGCGTGGATGCACTCTGGCAGCGACGGCGCTGTCGCGAGCGCGTCCGCTGTCGGGTGGTGTGATTGCGCTGCTGTTGGGAGCGAGGAGGATAGTGAGGGTGTGGTGCTGGTGTTATTGAGGACGGGATCGCCGAGGACAGGTCCAGCGCCAGAGAGCGACGCAGAGTGCGCATCGCTCTCCTGCTGTATCCCGCGCACGCCACGGAGGACGTCTGGGCAGAAGAGCGGCTCGGCGTAGCGGAAGCGCGAGGGTCCTACTTTGAGGCGCAGTCCTTTGAACGAGACGAGCACGGCCTTGGGGTCCGTGCTGCCGCCCGCTTGGCCCGCCTCACCGGTGATGGCCGCCGCGACGTCTGCAGCGCTCGCTTTACCCGCTATGGCATCTTGCAGTGCCTTTTTGCGCCGCTCCTGCTCTTCGATCAGCTCCTTCTCTTTGCCCTGCACTAACATGGCCGCGACGTCCAACTCGGGCTCTTCCTCTACGCCTGCAGCAGCGCCAGCACCGCTGCCCCCAATGCTGCTACTGCTGAACTTTCCGCCGCCGCCGCCAGCGGCGTCGTCGTCGAGACCGTTGATATGCCCCTCGTGCACGAGCATCTCGGCGAGCTCGACAAGCAGCTCGTGCAGGCGCTCGTCCTGCTCGTTGCGCGGCGGCGTAGCGGCAGCACTGCTGGGCACTGCGGCGCTAGCAGCGGTAGCGTGGTGCTCGCTGAGCGCCCCAAGGGCCTGGACCAGGCTGGCGTCCTGGCGGAGGAGGTGGGCGAGCCAGAGCGTGCAGTGACGTGCGCCAACGGGGCAGCGCACGATGGCGTTGTGTTGGACGAGACAGTCCGCAACGGGGGTCACGACGGAAGCGGCGGCGCCAATGTCGACGACGGTGGCGGAGAGCGCGGCGGTCGCGTAGGCTGCGAGCAACGGGCTCTCGACGAGCGCGAGGCCGGGGCAGTTGAGCTGTTCGAACCAGAGGGAAGAGATACAGGCGTGCTGCTCACGCGAGAGAGGCGCTGGCAGCGCGAGCAGAGTAACGGACGTGTTGGAAGAGCGGCGCAGACCGAGCGTGGTGGCGTGAAAGAGCAGGTGGCGCCACAGGGCGAGCATGGCCTGCCAGTCGCGCACCTGCATGTGCGGCTGCATGGGCCAGTAGTAGCGCAGCGCCTTGCCAGCGCGCACGGCCTCGTCGATGGCGGTGCCGACGAGGTAGTCATCTGCTGATGGTTTGTGCCCTGTGTTCCTAGTGTTGCCGGCTGCGGCGGCGTGGGGATCCAAGAGGCCATGCTGCTCGAGATAGTCTTCGGTGAGCGCGACGCGGGCGGTCAGTTCCTGCGTTGGGATGAAGAGTGGTAGGTGATCAGCAGCTCGCTCGCTTGCTCCGCCTCTTGCAACAAGGGAAGGAGCGTATCTACATGCAACACACGCACAACAGTGGGAAGGCTGAAGAGCTCGTGGATGCCATAGCCGGCGCGGATGGTGTGGTGGCCGTGGACGATGATGAGGGCGCGCGACTCGCGAGCCATGGTAGGGATGCCTTGGACGCTTTTCCTGCGGTGTTCTTCTTGCGCGCACACGCTCTCTCCCTCTTCAGCACCGGGACGCGTGCGTGGTTTCGATTCGCCTCGGCTCGCTGCGCTGCGTATACGCTGAGCACACACCACCCCACGTTCGACGCCTGCCTGTATGGCTCGCCTCGGCTGGGCTGGAGATGGTGAGCTGCAATGCAACACACACCATGACCACCAACTCAGTGCTTTGTGCTGAGCTGAAGGAAGCAGGCGGCGTTGCACCGATAGCAAAGTAGGGTTGGCACAACCGCCACTCTTCCCGCCAGCGTGAGAGAGTCACAGTGTCTGTGTCTGCAGGCGGATCATCGCACAGCGCCCCGGCCCGAGTGGGAATTGCGAGGCAGTAGACGAGTCTCTCGTTCCCCTTTCTCAGCAACCGGCTTCCCCGCACTTGTACATCGAGATCTTCCAGGTCGCTTTCAACCACACCACACCGCACCGCATAGACTCGACTCGAGCGGCGGGTCAGCTCGGGGTCGCTCGCTCCTTTGCCTCACGTCAGTATTGCTTGCTTGCATACCACCGTCCCCACCAGGACCGAGCATCGCCCCGCCATGCTCGCAAAAGTCTTCAGGAAAGCCAGTTCCGCCACCCCGTCGGCACCGGACCCGCCCCCTCCGTCCGGTAGGCTGACCCGCTACAGCGAGCGTGCACGCCAACTCCACACCGCCCCCACCAGCACCAGCGGCGGCAGCCGTAATGACGACAGGCCCTCGACCCTCGGCGCTGGCGCTGGCACAGGCGCAACGCTCGCCGGCTACGCACCCGACGACAGCAACAGCTCTGTGACCTGCACCCAGAGCAGTACATCCGCCCAGCGCTACAAGTACTCTTACCTCTCCCAGCAGCAGCAAAACGAGGGGCAGCAACCTGCCCACACCCGCACCCATAGCGCAGCCAACAATGGCACCAGCTCCCCACCGACCACCTCCCGCGTCCGCTCCTACCGCAAGCCCACCACCGCCACCCCGCAAGGCAGAGCCGACGACGACACCTCTCGGCTCCCTCCCATTCCATCGCTCTCGCTCGGCCACGGTGCCTCCGATGGCGACACGCCACAAGAAGACGTCTTTGACGGTAGGAACAAGGACCCCGCAAGCACCCTCTACCGCGCCGCCAGCAACAACCAGCTCAAGATTATGCAGCAGCAGCAAGCTCACAATGGATCGGCCGCAACCCCCCACCATCCGCAAAAAAGCACGCTGCAGAAAGGCAAAGACGATGCAGGCGGTTTGCTCACCGGCGCCGGAACCGCAGCCGTTCTGAACAACAACGTTTTTGGTGCTACCAATGGCGATGGCCACACCATGGGCGATCGCAGTGCCAACGCCAACAACCATGCCAACGGCGCAGGCTATCTAGATGCACGTGCCACCATCCCCAACGGCGGCGAGAAGCACCATAAGGGCAGCGCCATATCCCTCGTCAGCGGAATCAGCAGCATCGACGGAAGCGGAAGCGGCAGCGGAAAGCGCAAGCCCGTACCCACGTATGAGGATGAGGAGGGAAAGGAGGAGGGGGAGCAGTACAAGCAGCAGGCAGTCGAACGCGATGCGGGATACCAGGCCAAGGTTAGCAGCGGATGTGGAAGGCGAACGTTCCCTTGCGCTGACATGTGGTGGTTTCCCTCTTTGCACGCTGCTCAGCAGCCTGCCGCGGCGGCCGCTTCTGTCCAAGTGGTGGTGCAAAGGGCACAGCAGCAGCAGCAGGCTTCCAATCGCGCCAACGGCATTGGAAATGGTATCGCCAGCGTCAGCGCCGAGCAGCGCACACAGAAGGCCACTCTCAAGATCCAGGTCACGCCCCAGCAGCGACACTATCTCGTCAAAGCGCTGGTCGCGCTGCAGATGGCCAACGAGGCGCGTGACATCGAAAAGGTAGGCGCGCTGACATTCTATGGTCACCCCTTCAGCGCCGAGAGGCCCAAGCTGAAGCGGATCAAGAAGGACCTCGAGAACGAGTACACTTCTGGTGGCGGCTTCGAAGAAGTCGCCGACGAGGCTTACGGCGAGGATGCAGACGAGGACGTCATCCGGCGTGCCGAGGGCGTACAGGAGCCGGTCATCCTGCGCCATCTATTCCACGCCAATCTGCTCCCATTCCCCGGGCTCGACACGGCGCCGCTCAAGTATTGGCAGGCGCGCATCCAGGTCTTCTTCGACGAGATGGCCGCCCGTAACTTCTCCACGAGCATGGAACGCGGCGAACTGAGTAAGCGCCGTTTCTTTGCGCTCGCCGGCATCCGCTACCTCTCCGTCTTCTTTGCACGTGGAGTCGGCATCCGCGGCGAGGGCGAGACGCGCGGGCCCGGTGTCGGCGAGCCCGGGAGCGAAAAGTGGGGTAAGGGCAAGCAGTGGGGCAAGGGCACTGTCAAGCGTGGACTCGACCGGCCGGTACGCATCGACGCACCGCTCATGCGCCAGATCGACGACCTTTTTCACGCCGACTCGGAGGAAGGGCACCAGTGGCGCCTCGCGGGCAAGGAGGCCGCGCGCATCCGCACGGACTGGCAGGCGTTCAAGGAACACGTCATTGAACACGAGGACGGCATCGAGGACGTCCATCGACACCTCGACATCAACAACATCAAGAATCTCCCCACACACTACCGCAATGCAGAGGAGTGGGCGCGCAACCATGCCGCCTACATCTTCCACACCCTCTTCGTCTCCAGCCCGGGTGCAGACGGCACCTTCAAGGTCCTCAAGGGCATCGTTGGCCTCTTTCCCTTTTGGGCGACGCGCCAGATCCTCAGTGCGTGCGCACCCTGTTGCATCAGAGATTTGTCATCTCATTGCTGACCCTCCCTCCACTCCCCTCCCCATCTGGTATTCAGAATACGCCAATGCGCAGGTCATGATCCAGGGCATCCTCTCGCTGCTCCTCGCGCGGCCCGCAGGATCCAAGTCCCTCATGCAGCGCGTCTTTTCCTTTGTCATTGGCCGCGAGATCTCGTCGATCGAGAAGGAGTACATCACGCCACTCCGTAACGCCATCACCGACGACGAGTTGGCCAAGCTGGTGGAGGAGTACGTCAAGCGCGGCAGCAGGCCCGAGAAGCGCGCAATCCGCGCCAAGACGCTCAAGTCCGGCAACGACGTCCTCACCACCATCCTCCTCGAGGGCAATCACAACAGGCCCCAGCAGCAGACACAGGAACGCATCATGCACATGCAGCGATGCTTTGGCCTCTCCACCCTCCGCAGTCGCCTCGATGATGCGTACCCGGACGGCACGCCGCCCGCGCAGGAACGCAAGGCACCCGTCGCTGGCTTCGGCCTTGGCAGTAGCACCACGGACGCCGAGGCGGCGCGCCAGTTTGCGCTACTAAAGCTCCTGCTGCGCGAGTGCCTCAAGAAGCGCGATCGCGAGCAGGCCTCGGCCATGGCCACCGGTTCGCTCATCCCGACCATCATTAAGGATTCGCTAGAGAACGTCTTCTACTCAATCATCAAGGAGATCGCTTCCACAGCCGATCTCAGCGCGCGCCTAGGTGACCTGCAGGCTTTCCTTGAGGACCTCATCAAGGTCAAGCTCAACACAGATAACAGTGAGGGCCTCCTTGTCCGCTGTGAATTCCAGAGCAAAACACTGAAATGTCTTTGCTCTTATTGTTCCGCCATAGGCCTGCAGGAGTGGATTGCGCTATGTGCGCGTCACGAGAATTCTCTGTATTACTTTTTCCACGAGTGGGTCTCTACAGCCGAGTCTCGCCTACCCGTCATGACGCTCAAGCGGCACGTGCACTGACATTTGTCTCCCTGAACTTGCCTCCCCAGGTGCGCCTCGATCGCCGAGCCGTTCATCGACTGGCTCCAGCTCGGCGCAGACTACATGGCGCTCAGCACGAGCGATCCAGCGCACCCAGCCGATCGCAGTCGCAAGAACATCGAGGTCAACGTGGAGAAGATGCTCGGGGACAACCGGCTGACCGATGACGACGTCAGGCGCATCCTGCGCGAGGTGGACAATCTGACGCAGTACACGCTCTGGAACAAGGTCTGGTACGAGCTCGAGCTGCGTAAGAACTTCCTCCTGGCTCGACCGGACGCCGCGCCGGTGAGCGGCCTCGGCGAGAAGGACCTACCTTCGCCGACGTTCAAGAAGGATATCGAGGATATCGACTCGCTGCTTTCCGATCTGATGACCAAGAAAGGCGTCAAGATCAACGACGGTCTCTGCCGCAGCGAGGCCCGCGGGACTGAGGCGGCCGAGTTCCCTTGGATCTGGTTCGACGAAGTTGACCCATGCGGGCAGCACCTCATGGCCGAGGAGGCCGTGGCTGACCTACGCTACGAGCCCCGCGGTATGTCGTACCCGCCTCCGAACCTGCTGCACACCCGCAAGGTTCTGCCTATTTTCCGCGAGATTCTCCTCTCCGAGATGCCTGACCGCATGCGCAAGACCCCTTTGCCCCCTGGCAATGCGCGCCGCGCATCAAAGTTCTCCACATCCAACAAATCCGACAAAGGTGGCGCAGACACCCGGTCCGTCGTGTCCAAGAAAAGTGCCAAGAGCTTCAAGATCCCCTTTTTGTGATATATTTACTTTGTATATGGATATATGCAAGAGCTGCCGCGGTCACTGCAGCCGCCCTTGCTCGACCGATGGGTGAAAGGCCCAACCAGATTGCATTGTACTATTAGGAAATATTCAGCTATTAAACAGTCTCGAATGCAGCTGATCATGGCGCCCTTGCACAATTTCCAGTAAGGGCCAAGTGCTCGTCACATATTCGGTGTCATCATCTTCCCATGACCAATCCCACTCTGATCCTCCGAAGGTATGTCCAACTTCCTGCGATGCTTTTCGTCTCTGTCTGTCGCTTATCGAGTCTTCTGGCTTGTTCCGTATGCACGACAGAGTCTCTCTCACATCAAACAAGAGGATCTGGTGAGCAAGATAAGGGCCGAGGATATTCAGGCGGACCGCTGACGAGAGCACGGCTCTCGCTTGAAGGAATAGGTGCAAGTCTACCGCTCGATCTGCGATCAGCCAGCCGTGAGCCCTGGGCTTTTGTCAGACAGATATCAAAGACATGGTATATTTGGATATCTCGAGATGAATCACCTAAGCTGAGGTCAAGCGAAGCTGAAAAGATGCCCCACACACTCGCGAGATGACCGTAGGTCCGGCCAGCTCGGACCTGCCGCTTAATGTTGGCCAGAAAGCTTGAGACTTTGTGTGTTCGGACCGTGGAATCCTTGGCGATACTCGCTGTGTCAGCGCCAGCATCGAATGCACCCTGAATCTGCCGTACGCTGCTTCCCGAAAAAGCCTTTGTGTACAAAGTTAGAAGCGCGGCGCCCTGTGCGGCGGATGCACGACGATTAACATGGTTGGGCATCTGCGCATGCGCACGCTGATCCACTTGCAAGAACTTTGCGACGGTCTGCTCGATTGACGCTTGTGTGCTCTGCGCAGTCACTTCGCGCAAGAGGGAGTGTGCATCGCGGACGATCGTCTTGACCAGATGGTAATAAGACCGGAGACTTTCCTGAATGAAGATCAGCAGGGCAGCGGCTTGGTGCGCCTGCGGGCCATGATGTGCAGGCTGCGAACTTGGAGCCGTTGGACCATATTTGCGGAGACACTCATCAAGAAGTCCATGGGTGTAAACAGCTTCCAAGCCGGCAGACGCGACGAAGCCACCTGATGCATATTCAATGCCGTGGGACATGCAATGGCGTGTGTCAGTCCATCAAAATATTCACGATCCTTGTCGTGATGCGTGTGGGGGGGGGAGGCTTACCGGTCGGCAGATTCGAGTCGGACAACACCCAGGACACGTAGGTCTCTGCGTCTTTTCCACCATCCGCGTCCATGGCCCTTTCGAAGAGAGCTCCGTTTCGGATCCGCGACACCTTTGGCGATGCACGCGGTCCAGCACGTCACGGATCTGTTGAGAGGTCCATCCTATGCGTGTCTCCCAGAGATGAGAGAACCCAAGCCATCGTATAGAAGTGAATATCTTTCTCGGCCGAGAAGAGCAGCTACGCACCTTTCATTATGATCGGCAGTCGGCATGACTGAATCCGACGACGAGAGTGGTGTTGCTCCCGCTCTTGTTCTGAAACGTAGTCTTTCATTTGTTTGGGTTGGAGGTGGATTTGTTACCAAGACAAAGCCTCTCCATCAATCCACCAAATTCGCACCCCCAAACCGCCGGCACGCGAGGTCACCGCTCTTGGCGCGCTTGTCCGGACGGTTCGCCTTCAACACCCAACGAACCCGAATTGTTGGGGAAAACCCGTGGCTGTGCCTGGGTGCTAACATCGGATTCCCGCCCAGGCTCATGCGCTCATGACCACCATCTGACGGTTGACCTACTGTGGGAGTCGGGAGTGTTTCGGAAGATGAATCGCACGTGGTCTGCCGACTCGATGGATGAGACCGACCAGCAAAAACTGTATGGAATCGGGCCGACTTCGATCGATCTCTTTCGGCCTCGGAAACATGGGCGTAGATCCTCCACATCGCAAAGAGATCACGCTGCCAGTTCCTTGCAAGAACCTCGCAGCTCGGCTGCTCCAAATGGTTCTTCGGTAATCACGGAACGTCGAAAACGAGGTCGCAGCAAGGACCCAGCTGCGCCAAAGGCAGATTTGTCACCGTCAGTGGCGCTGCTTGGGTCCAATTCATCATCAGTCCCAAGGTCCGCCGTGGCTGAAGGAAAACAGAGGCAGAGTCTTGAAGGTATGCGTCAAGTCAGCTGGGGAATATCTACAGGCACCGACAACCGCTACTCGAGCGCCGTCTACGCGGGTGGCCCATCAGCTGCAGGAAGCATAGACGGCATGTCCGACAGTAACGACTCGACGACCGACTCGGATGAGCAAGGTTTCTCCTGGGACATCAGCAAGAAACTTGCGGACAGGCGCCTGCAGTTATCGCGGCCGCCAGAGAGAGAACGTGGGGCCACCATTCGAGCGTCCAGGTCATCACGCAATGCAACGCTATCTCTTCCGCCCGACAAAAGTGCACCTGGGTCCGCTGGGGACAAAGCAACGCACGACGATCTGCATCCATTCTCGGTGCAAAACACAAGACACTCAGCATATCAGCCAATCCCAAGGGCATCTCTAGCGCAGAAGTTGCAGCGCGAGTCAAATGTTTTTGTCGAAATCCTCGTTTTATCCGGAGCAACAGTTGTTGCGGCACGCACCCTCCTCGGAAGCAGCCAACCCTCTCTCATTTCCTCAGGGTGGCAACTCCTCGGTCTGACTATGGCCACGCTTACATTGGTCGGATTACAGACCCTGCTTGGGCCTGCGAAGCTCTGGGCAACGGATGATCGTCACTATCGAGAGGCGAAGGATCAAGGCGTCATGGCGGGGCTCATTCTAGGGCCTCTCCTTGCTGCAGCGTGCCTGATCGATAGCTGCTTTAGTGAACAAGCCGCTTCTCTCGAATCTACTCAAAGCTCTTGGCTTATCAGAAAGAGCTCACAGACCGAGGCTATCTCGGGCCTCGGGCCATTGTCAACCGCCAGGCATGCGCTTCTGGGCATGCAATTCGTCATCTTTGCAGTAACCGCCTGCCATGTGATAGCATCGTTAGCAACACCTGCGCGATGGTTCATTCCATCGGGGAACTGGGCACGCCTCGGCTCGTTCTGTGCATTTTCCAGCGCAGTCACGGCCTTCGTCACACTTGGCCAGCTTGTTTTGAGCTACGTGTCTCCGCACATGCTGAACGGTGCGCCCTCCTTTGCGTTGTCCCTTGAAATGGGCTGTAAGCTGACTCGAAGAAACCCACAGAATTGAAGGTTTGGGAGACAATCACAGCATGCATCCTCTATCAGTCCTCGCTCTATACCATCACCCGACTCGCACGTAAGAATTTCACCTTTGGTGAATTGGTGATTGTGTCGATATTTGGCGTGACACTCATGCTAGAATCGATGCACATTACGGTGTCAAAGGTGCGCATAAGGTGGTCACCGATACATCTGTGCATCTAGCTGACAAGTGCGCTTCACTTGGTTTTTGCTTTTGATGACAGCTCTCCTCTCGAGTCAAGGTCGTTCACACATTTCGTACGCCTAATGCGCTTTTGATATTTCACCTCGCCTTGATTGTCGGCACATTCTCCATTGGTTTCTTGAACTCGCCTCTCCTCTACCTATCCCGATACCTCGCACAGCGGCCGACGCACCGCCTACGATGGCCGCAGCAGCGTGATCTTCACCGGCGTCTCCTTTCGGGGTTCTTCTTTTTCTTTGCGGCCGCTTTCATCTTTGCTGTTCTGGGATTGTGGGTCCAATGGCTACTGGGAGGCCACAACCCGTGGCTATGGACGTTCAAATTCGTGCTGGAGGGGCAAGTCTTCTGGACACGACCATTGCTCATCAGCTACTGGGTGGTTCTGGTGTCGGCCTCGGTGGCGGGATGGCAACGGATCGTTAGCAAGTCGAGGAGGTTCAAGCAGCCCAAGGCGACCATGCAAGTGGTCCCGACATCCAATGCTGCAAACGGATTGCAGATGCACGAAGGGCGCCTGGATGGTGGTCATACGAATTCCACCAACAGTGTCCCGACTATCCCAAGCGGAACTGCAAAACATGATGCTAGCTCTACCGCCATACGCAAAGCTGCACATCTCAGTCTGAACGCGCGTCGCAAATTCTTCCATGGACTTGCTGTTCTTCTTTTCCTGCCAGGTATACTTTTCGAGGTGCGTATGTTTCGGCTTCAACCTGCAGGCTGAGCCCGATGCTGATGCTTCCACCTGTGAATCCGATTTCGCAGCCGTCCTTCACACATCTGGCGCTCTCGCTCGCATTTGCGGTCTTTATCTTCGCCGAGTACATTCGCTACTTTGCTATATGCCCACTCGGCGCACCGCTCCACATTTTCATGAGCGAGTTTCTCGACCACAAAGACTCGGGTCCTGTCATTCTCAGCCATTTTTATCTCCTCTCTGGCTGTGCACTTCCGCTCTGGCTCGAAAGTTCCACATTTGTTACAAGATGCTCTGGGACTTTGGTGTTGGGAGTCGGCGATGCTTTGGCGTCAGTTATCGGCCGCCGGTACGGCAGGCTGCATTGGCCCTTCTCATCCAAAACGGTCGAAGGTTCAGCAGCGTTCATCTCTAGCATCTATTTCTGTGGCCTGGCTTTGCAACGGCTTGCACCAAGCGACTCATTTACCGTAAGTGATCAACAAGAAGTGTGACACACCTTCTGCGGACTGCTGACCATGCCTCAACTTGATAGGTCGGCAAATGGCTCGGTATCGTGACTCTGCTAGGCGTATTGGAAGGCGTGTCTGAGCAGAACGACAACCTCATCCTTCCCATCTTTGCATTTGCACTTTGCACCATCATGCACCTGTAGCGATCCTGAGCAGTTATCCCTTGAAGCAATAGGCGCGCATAATTTGGACCACATCGCAATGATTCGCGGTTCGCGATCGCTCCGAGATCCTATACGGGGTCTGTGATTACATATGTAGTCCAGTTTCCAGAGCCTATTCTGCAAGCAGCTTTCGCCAGTTGGCGACGGACTGTAGTTTGGGGCTGGGAGCTACACTGTGAGTGTAGTTCCCAGCGACTCGTGAATGGGATGGCTGGTGACAGCCCTGATTGGCGCGAGTTGGTGACTGGTGTGGTGCGGTGCCACGATTTCGAGTCGCGCCTGCTGGAGTCTTCAAGTATTGAGCGTGCCTCGGGCTGCACTCTACAATACAAATGTATACTATCCATTGCACGCAGGGTTGACAGTGCTTTGTAATCGAAGCCGACAAGAAAGTAGACCGCAGAGCTTCTCATTCACTGGTCTTGAAATCCCGACACCCGTACGCAGGGACCAGTGTTAAGATTTGGCCCTCAAAATGTCAGGCTGGGGATCTTGGCTGTGAGTGTTTCCAGTGGTGAAAGCCTGGGCGACTCCAGCGTTACTGATGCTTCGCCTTCCCTCGTTTCCAGCTCGAGCTCATCAGAGAGCAACGAGGCAGGCGTTGCGATTGGTCCTAACTTCAAGCCAATATCCGACACTCCGCAAGATCAGCTTCTGGGGCCTCTCAGTCCGGAAGATCTGCAATGGACCTGTGCGGGAGGTTTCACTACCGAGACCCAGACCTGGTACTCGATCCTAGAGGACGGATCCTTTGCGGCCAGCCAGATCATTCATTCGGCCGTCGGGTACGTTCTCCAAAATCGCTTTTCTCTGAATAGGGCATCCTCTGACGGCAATCTGGCACTCGCAGACTGTGGTACCCGCAGATTCAGATCACTTTCAAATACTTCAACCCCAAGACCGGTCAGAAGATCTGGAAGTCGGTCAATGTCACGCACTTTGTTACTCCTCCGCCTGCTGGTGCTGGGCGTGACAAGTCCAAGACATATGACAAGCGCAGCTGCAAGGCGGACCAATTCACCATCCTTTTTGACACACTCCCCAACGGCGACGAAAAATACACGATCGACGCCAATATAGAGGCCGACCTGCAACTCTCCTGGTCCTTCACGCGTGTAGCTGGAAACCTAGGATGGAAACTTGGCGCGGGTTCAGAGGGTGGGAAGAGCGTCTTTGGAAGCAACCCAACGGCCCCTGACGGCTATGTCGTGCACCGGTTTTGGCCCAGGGTTGAATCGTCTGGCATCATCATCGCCGGCGGCAAGATGATCGAAGCTCAAGGTCAAGGAATGTTCGTTCACGCCATTCAGGGTATGCGCCCGAACTTGGTCGCTAGCAAGTGGAACTTTGCAAACTTCCAGAGCAAGGAGCTCGGCGGTGTCGCTGCGATCATGATGGAGTTCACCACGGCCAACGACTATGGCGATCCTGCGGATCCGGGCAGTGCGGTTGCCAGGAAACCGCTGACTGTCAACGTTGGGTCTATCAGTGTGGGAGGAAAACTGGTCACTGTCACCGCTAGCACACGCGGACGGGACCATGCACCTGCGTCGAGCTCAACCTCGTACGTGGACCACCAAGACACAGAGCAAGATGCAGACACGGGCTACAACGCACCGACCAAGATTCAGTATGGTTGGACGGGCCATGCCTTGGACGCCAGCAACAAGCCTAGTGCGAACAAAGCGTCAGCCGAGATCAAGCTTGATCTGGGAAAGCCCTACCCTTCCACCGAGACAAAGGGACTGGTCGACAAAGTCGATGTACTCGCAGAGATTCCTTATGTGGTCCGCAAGATGGTTAACTACGTGGCAGGCACCAAGCCTTATATTTATCAGGTGTGTGTGTCCGAGGCTTGAGTATCTGACCCGAGGTTGATCTCATCCTTCCATTGCACTTGTGCACCTAGACACTCAACTCTGCCAAGATCTCGCTTGACTTGCCAGCAGGCTCGCCATCGGCTGGAAGTCACACTCTCGAGGGAACTCTGTTTGAGGAGCATACGTTCATCAATGTGTGAAGTGTAATTTTCTCTTCGTTAAGGAACCTTCGATCTATTATTGCAGGTGTCTCCCATAACCAATCCTAGGGGACGCGGCTGGCATATTTGCACACGTAACCATCCTGCCGGCAACACCTGTTCGCCTTTTACAGACTCATGAGATGTATCAGCTGGTTGCACTTTTGAATGAACTGATGCGCGTGCTTTAGCTCGCGACTCCATCTCTGCTACGGCAGCCCGGCATCTTTCCAAGGCTGAGTCACCATCTTGGGGCGCCATCCTAGAGGAACATGCGTCAGGAGGTCGGCCAAAGCATGACTTCTATCATGCATCACTCACGGATGGGCTTGTAACCCTTGAAATGTTACTTCATCGGGAAAGTCTATTTGTGAACGGGTGGACCGGTCCACGAGCGCTACTGAATGCTCCCAAAAGTAGTCATGCAGCCAGCGCAAAGCCTGACAGAAAGAATCGTCACCTTAATCAGCCCGGGCCTCGAAATCTCTGGTCTGCAAATACGCACTGTAATGGCGCCTTCTCTCAGAGCCTGAAGTGTTGGACACTTTTGGTGAGTTGCCGCATGGCGTATTTCCACCAGCCAGAGAGGCAAGCCGACCTTGGCGGCTATCATTGCGATGGACTCGGCAAACAGACCTGTCTGCTGCTCATCGACGATGCCATTTACGAAGCGCACAATTGCCATTGAGTAAGACAAGCGTACTGCGCTATCGTCATAGCCGCCTTGTGCGGACGTAGATACCCCAGAAGCCGATGCACTGGAAGTTCGCAAGTCGGCGACCAGGGCAGAGTAGAGGGATGCCGTCGCCTCGATCGCAAAGGCGCAAGCACCTCGATTTAGCAGCACGTCCACTTTGACGATCCCTTCCTCTCTCTGGCTTATCCAATGGGATAGCTGCGCGGGACCACCTTTTGGATAGAAGCTGGTGGGGTGGTGTACGGTCTCGGACACTTCTGAGCATCCTTCGAAGAACAACTTGTACAGTTCCAATAGGTCAATGTCCGAGCGGATGGACTTGATCCTTGGAAGCCGCATGATCGCAGCTCTTCGGTCAGAGGTGGCTTTTGAAATCCACCTATCTACGATGTGATAGCAGGGTAGATCTGTCACAGCAATCTCGCATCTCGCTGGAGCTGGGAATTACCTTAGGCATTGGGTATGCAAGGGACAAAAGACTCAATCATCAAGGGAGGAGCTGCGGCCTGCGTCTGTGAGCATGAACTGCATAACCGCTTCCGCTAATGGGGTTCTTCTATCAAACTGCCGATAATTGGCGCAGGGGATCGGTGCAACTCACGTTCATAAATCATAAATTTTCGACAATATTAGGTAATGTTTAGAGAAAGGCGCAATTGGGCCCAATTCTTGCCAGTGCCAAAATGCGCCTTCGTACGTAAGCCAGCTCTCGTCGCGACGGGAGTCCAGACAGACTCCACGCCAGACGACCGAAGATCCACAGAATATGTGATACTAAACGCACAACCTCGTCATCTCCCATTGGCCGCTGGCACTGCGGCAGTGTGGCTGATCCCGCCGATCACCCGCCTGCCGGACCCCTTGGGGGTCGATGCCAATCAACCACTTCCGTCCGCAACCTTTCTCCGCAGCATGGTTTATGTTTCGTGTAGCGCAGCCGACGCCCCATCCACATGACGTTCTCGGGCGTATATCATTGCTTATATTACATTTCTCAACTTCTCAACCTTCCAAACACTTTGTTGGAGACGCAGACGCTCGCAAAAGAGATGACGGAGGGAGGAGACCCAATCCTACGCAAATGAGAAGAAAGGAAGCAAAATGAACGCCCATCCAGCCCTGAATCCCAACACGCACCTGGTGCCAGCCTTGCGCTCAGCCTGGCCTGCAATCAAGGACCACTTCGCCAAGCATGGGGCGCTCAAGCTCTCATCGTGGATATCCTTTTACCAGCACGCAGACGTGATGCATTCCGGCATCGTTCTCGCTGCGTTCTTCATCGTCTATGTCTACGTCATGCAACAGATTACTGGCAATGCCAGCCAGGTCGATGGCCTGTGGACGTTCCTTCCTGGTGAGCGCCTCTTGATACACGTACATTTGGTCAGCTTCAGGGCTGAAGCGAAGTGCTGACCGCATGGGTTGTGTTCCGTTTCAAAGTGATTTTCTGCGGCCACTTCACCCTCCAAAAGTTCATCGCAAACGGCGGACTAGTTCCCGCCGAGACTGTCAGCTTCTTTGGAAAGCCTCAAAAGACTACGATATGGGACATAATCGAGCCAAGGTTGGCTCTCATCTTGGTACTTGAGCTGCTTTGGTGTGTTCGTCTCACCTTCCACGCCATTCGCCGAGGCATGTTCAAAAAGTGAGCCCACCCACGTATTTTGTGCTGCTGATCGTGTCAGCCTGCTCTTAATATGCATCTTTGGTTCATCTGCAGGGGCGAGGAAGACTACCGCTGGCCTTTGTTGCGCGCAAAGATGCTGAGGTGGCAGTGGGAGCTGTTCACGCTATTTTTCATTGCCATCACTCAAATAATTTTGCTTGCCGTCACGGCTGTGAGTCTTTTGCGAGCGATACATTGGCCTGATTCTCATCCGCTCACGTACTCCCTTGTGCAGCTTCCGAGCTACATTCTCCTCACCACCAAGCACCCCAAGCATGTGGCCGACCAGGTCCCTCGGCCAATCAACCACCTCACCGTTGCAGACGGCATCCTTGCTTGCTTGCTTGTTACGAACCTCGTCATGCAATTTTTCGCTGATCAACAACAGTGGACGTACCAAAATTTCAAGCGTGGCAAGGATGTTCATGAGAAACCTCTCACCAAAGACTCGCCAAAGCTATACACTGAAGCCGATGTCGCTCGTGGCTTCGTCACGAAGGGCCTTTGGGCGTATTGTCGTCACCCAAACTTTGCCTGCGAGCAGGCTACGTGGTGAGCAATAGATCTTCTTGCCAGAACTCTGAATCAAGCTGATCGGAGCCTCTCCGCTCGACTGGCTAGGTGGATTCTCTACATGTTTGTCCCGCTCACCTTCCTCCCAACCAACCCAAGTGCCCCACTTTGGAGATATGCGATCACTTACGCGATCGCTTCGCCGCTCATCATGAACATTCTTTTCCTGTCATCCACGCGTGAGTGCCGCAGGTTGCAACCTCGCAATGTCCACATTCTAAGGTTTTGGTTTGCAGGGTTCTCGGAGGCGGTTTCTGCTGGTAAATATCCCGAATACAAGGACTATCAGAAGCGTGTGGGCATGTTCTTGCCACTGGACACTTTCTTGAGGGCCATTTACTTCAAGACGCTGGTGCCGACAGAACAGAGGTACCGCGTCGAAGCAAACGTGTGGGGTGCTCCGGCTTCGTTGCAAAAGAAGACATGACTCGGTCGTTATCAGCACCACCGCTCAACGCAAGCATAGGAAACACGGGGGCTCGAAGATACCACGTAGTATAATCGTTTGTCTAGCATACCCAAACATTTAGTCAATTCTAGAGTCCAGGTTGCCCTATTCTGTACGGCGCAGCACTAAAAAAGATTATATAGCGACCGTCGTGAATGTCCAAGCCGTTCGGCGGCGCTGAGGAATGCAACCCAACCATGGATAATGCCGCTCTCTTGCGCAGAGCCAGATGCACCTGTGCCAGGACTAGAAGTTGCTGCCTGGTTCGTGGATCACAAGCCGGTAGTGAAGTGCTTCGTGATCGCGATGACTTGGATACTCCTGAGAATTTAAGGCAGGCCAAAGGAGAAGACTCAGCGAAGCCTTTGGCGGGGAATGAATCGCGTCGGCTGGCAGCGTGCTTACACCACTCGAGCATGGGACAGTCCAGAGATCAGTAGGTAGTAGGCGCACCATGATACCATGTAACCCTGCATTGCGGAGACAGTTGACTACAATGTTCAGTGGCGTTCAGAACTTAAAAGCCTTATGTCAGGACTGGAGGGTCGGGTTTCTCTGCACGAGCATCCACATACGATAAAAGTTTCTCAGCACTCAATAGGCCATCCAGAGTTGGAAAAAAGGGGGTTGGGTTGGATTACAGACTTCACATTCAAATGTGAAGCATAAAGCAAGTTGCTGCGGGGACACACAGATACATAAACACTTTCTTCAAGCGAAGAAGCAGGTTTCAAAACGTTACACGCAACTGCTATCCAAAATGGTGTGCCAGGTAGGGGCGGCATCGTGACTGCAGACAATCATCGTCAAACTGAGCTTGTGCAACGAGGAACTGAGTAATTTTAAGGATACTCATAAATGTCAACTGGAGTGGCTCCTTCAAGGAATCTTCGAAGACCATCAAGACGAGACTGTTCAACTCGAGCGTCTGATACTGCCAATGAGCTCGAACGAGAAGGCATTCAAATCCAAAATATGCAAAATCCATCACAATCGGAGACCACCAAGCCAGAAGATGTCACGTCTACCGACGTCATTGCTACCGCTAGTACGTCAACCAGGCGGGCTTACCGCAGCATGTTTCAAGAGGTGTCTGCTACCAAGGCTACTGGGCCGCGACAAGAAGTGGACCTCAGTCGGGCACTAAGATACAACGCGAGTGTGACATGTTTGAGCTTGAAGAGTCAGTTTTTTTCGTTTACGCATCAACGCTTTTGACTCGCCTGCTCACCTCTGCTGTCGAGGAAGCTCTAAGATTCAATGCCAGAGTGTCGTAAAGTGACTTCTGGCGGAAGGTTGAGTACATAAACTATACATCGAAAGCGAAGCAACTGCCGAGCATCAGTTTGAGTGTGTTAGCCAAAGGACTACAAGCC